AACAGAAACGAGTCCGATAAGCACATTTAAATTTTTTTCGAACATTTTTTTACTTAACACGGACGACGCACGTTTTTGGATGTTAATAACTTACTTATAGATACTTTATGTCCGAGATTAAAATCCGTGATTATTTCAAATTGTGACGTAATTATTACGTCAAAATTTACGTAAGCGTAATTTTGATTACAGCAGACACTACTAGGAACGGGAATTACAGAACATCATAGTACACAGTACATTAATGTAGTTAATAATGTTTTTTTATTGCTTAGATGGGTTGACAAGGTCACAGCCCACTTGTTTGTTATGTGGTTACTAGAGCCCATAGACATCTACAGCGTAAATGCGCCACTCACCTTGAGATATAAGTTCTAAGGTCTCAGTATAGTTACAACGGTTGCCTCTCCCTTCAAACCGAAACGCATTACTGTTTCACAAGAGCAAGAGCAGTGCTTCGCAGAATCTACCACCGGATCGGAAACGCGACCCACTGAGACGATCGGCGAGAAACTCAGTGTGCTGTATCTATGGGTTAATTCGCTCGTCGAGCCCTTCGTCGCAATCGACGAGTTCGACGTGGACGGTGACCGGTAAAGAATATGAATAACAAACAATAAAATAATACATACATATGCTAAGTGGCTTAAAGTTCCACGTGCATGCGCCAGCACTGAAATTTTATAAACATTGAATAAAAATAAAAGAAAACGACGTCAGTGACGACAATTTAAGGAAATAAAGAAAAATTAAAACACAAGAAAACAATAGAGTCAACAAGCAGTCTTTGTGGATTGTTAAGAGGTAACAACAAAGAAAAAAAAATTAAAAGAGTTATTGACACCTTGCCTTCTTTAAAATAACGTGTCTGTATAAGAAACTTCGTATAACTTAGGCTGGCCACATCGATGTTCATAATTAACTAATATCAAGGTTCAATGCCACTTTTTAACTGACTACGAAGGAAAATATTGATGCACATAATCATGACATACGATTTAAAAAAATGTCTTACCGATTGTAAAAATACAAAAATGCATAATAAATTATAATACTTGGATTCATTTTCAATAAAACTCTTATCGAATCGATTTATGTATTTTTTACGACAAATTTCTATGGCGTTGCATAAGTAACAATTTGTTAGAAAAAAAAATGGAGTCAGCAAAATTTCGTCTGAACTTACAAGTTTCAATGTATATTTCTACAAAATACAAACAAAACACAGAGGCAACTTGGTATGTTAACGCCTTATTTCATGGTTAACAACGCATGAACAATGACTTGGTACAAGAGACAAGCAATTTCTATAGCGTTCGCATTTTAATTTTATAACAGACATTGGCATACATTTTAAAATGTTTCCTGCAATACTGGTCCGTCTATTCTTCTTATAAAACCGGTTTTTACCCACGTGACGCAAAACAGCTAATGGATTTTTTTATATGAAATTTGTTCTCGGTCCTATGAAACTAGCATAAACAACATGTGGTTGATCGTTAAATTTCTAGGCACGTGTTTACTACATGCCTAGATAGCAAGAACTAGGGGCTAGAAATTTAGAATTTTCGGTAGCACAAAAATATTACGTATACTTTTTACTATGGACGAATTATAGACCAGTTGATAGTTCGAGGGAGGGGTCATTTGGCACCGTCTCTTCAGATTAATATTGTCATTAATATTTTCTAAAAGCATTTTGCTTTAATATGTATCTAATTATGTTAGTGTGTATGTAACTGATAATTTGTCATACCACGCGAACGATTGAGCTAAAAATATTATGCATCTATTTTATATGTGAATCGAACACACGTTCAATTGGTTGCTACAATGATTTAATAATAAGTCATTGGGCGTCGTAGTGCAATGTTGGTTATACAAAATATGTGTACTGTTAATCGATCATTAGTCAATCGATTAGTCGATTTAGTTCGACTTTTTTTTAATGCGCTACGCTTAATCTGTGAAGTGGCAGCCTGAAAAACATAACCCCTTCTCTTAGGGTATTGTCATAAAATATTACTAACGGAATCGATCGATAATAAACTTTAGCGTTCTCTGAGTTTTATACCAACAGACTGCCATAGCCAATCCGTATTTACTGGTGATAAGGTGTATTGTAAAGCCTATTTCTACATTACAACCTTGCATTACAGTTGCCTAATCTTGCATTACAGCTTAAGTGGTGGAGTAGCGGTTATACAAGACAATCGACCTAAAGTTTGAAGGTAGCTGCATTCGCGAATTAATTTTCAAATTTTACGATAACTTTTTTTTATTTTTTATGATTGAAAGATTATTGGTGGCCCGGAGGTCTTTCCAGTTTCATCAGGACAGGTCGGTGAGCAAAGCCTCAGCCAGGTGGATGGGATTAGTGAACAACTGCCCGAGCACCTTCAAGGGAGACCTAACAACTCAAGAGCACCTCATTCGAGAATGAATCTACTACCGGATCGAAATCGCGATCCGCTGAGAAGATCCGGCGAAAAACTCAGCTGCTGATGCATGGATTAAGTTGCACGCCGATGTGTCTTCAGTGGTGTGACGTGTCCTTCTTCAAACGAGGCTTGAGGAGAGTTGATAGACAGCACCTTGCCTATGCACTTAGTATTGTTCACTTCATTTAGCAACGACGTCCTTACGTCAGATGAGCTATATGCTCGTCAATCACCTAAGCCATGTTAATAGTCTCGTCATTTCTTACCAAAATGACTGTCTTACCTAGACATTAAACTAAAATTTACCTAAATGATTCTATTAAAAAGTTTATTATTTCTTTGCACTCTGGAACGCCTAAAACAAATAAATATATGCGAGTATATGAAGGCAATTGACCCAGTTACGGTTCTCCTTGTATAAATTTATCCTCCTTTAATACTTTTCTTAAGCCTCTTCAATGATTTAATCTAATTTACGTATTTACTTATAAAACAAGTGTTTTAGTTATATTGTAAAGCATTAGGTTAATCCAAAGTGCGTTTCGGTCATATTATATATCTAGGTTGTTGTTTTAGTAAACAGCTTGATTAGGTGCATGCTTAGTGCGAGTTTTTTAACGTTCTCGTTAGCGTAAAAGTTAAATCAAATTTGTATGGAGTTGGAACGCTTGCCTACGTTTTCCGCTAGGGGCGCTGTTCCAACTGCATACAAATTTGAGTTACTTTTACGCTATCGAGAAAGTTAAAAAACTCGCACTAAGCACACTGTTCTGCGACGCCGTATCGAAAAAGCGCACGTAATTTGACAATTTGCTAACTTTCAACATTTAGTATTCATGATGACCTATGGGTAGCTGTTAATCTATGTTGACGTTATATGTAAATGTAAAAGTTAGTATGTTTGGATAATCGTTACACAATCATGCAAGAATTGCTTTACGAATTTTGAAATTCTTTTAAAATTCGAATTTACGGGCAAACGGATTCTCAAATCGGCTGGTAGTTAATGGCCCAGAGAGTGTGATACACGCAATTCTTCATTTCGCGCCAAAGCAAAGGATTCTATTCTTCCTGAATTAAAATTTTAAGCCGAGGCCGGAAGGTCTTGATTCGATTTTTGGTAAGAAAGTTTTTGTTCAAGATATTCAGCAATGGGCTCTGGGTATGTGTTTCCTGACAGCACAGGCTCGACTGAGATGAATAAATCTAATCTAAAGCCGTTGAAGTACCTAAAATCTAGTTTTACTGGTGGTAGGACCTCTTGTGGGTCCGCACGGGTAGGTACCACCACCCTGCCTATTTCTGCCGTGAAGCAGTAATGCGTTTCGGTTTGAAGGGTGAGGTAGCCGTTGTAACTATACTTGAGACCTTAGAACTTATATCTCAAGATTAGATGTCTATGGGCTCCAGTAACCACTTAGCACCAGGGGGGCTGTGAGCCCGTCCATCCATCTAAGCAATAAGAAAAAAGAAAAAAAAACCCAGCACGTAATAACTCTGTTCATTTGCCGTGACTTTGGTGGCCTTCATTGCAGTAATTTAAACATTATAAATTTCAATGAGTAAATATTTGGAAAATAAATTTGTTAAAATTATCACACGCTCTAATACAACCTACACTGTGTGTCTGCTTCAATCCGGATTTGGCACGTGCAAAATACGTGAGCTCAATTTAGCTAAACGATCGCTAAATTTTCAGTCAGATAAAAACTTATTTTATTAAAAAAACAACTAAAATCTTTCGTAGACTTCAAGTATCGAGGTGGCGGGTTTCATGTTGTTAAGTGTATGGGCTCCGATAACGACTTCACACCAGGAGGGCCGTGAGCTCGTTCACCCATCGGTACAATCTATATATATATAAAAATGAATTGCTGTTCGTTAGTCTCGCTAAAACTCGGGAACGGCTGGACCGATTTGGCTAATTTTATCTTGAATTATTTGTGGAAGTCCAGAGAAGGTTTATAAAGGTAGATAAATATGAAAATGCTCGGTATTAAAAAAAAAATAACAATTCTGTTTTCCCTTTGAAGTGTCGCCCGTCGGACGAATTCCTTTTGTTTGTTTTAAGTTTATTTTATACAAAAGTTTTTTATTTATCGATTGAGGCACAACGAAGTCTGCCGGGTCAGCTAGTAAATAAATAAAAATCTTAAGATAGACACGTAGAAGCGTGGGAATTAACTATTGACTAAGACAATTTGGGACAAAGAGAAAAAATATAGTTTTTATGCATTTTTAAGATTCTTTTGTGTGACGACTATAGTAAGTTACCTTATAGTAAAATTAGATGAACTCTTCAATACGACAAATGGTTTGCATTTGACAAAGTTACGTTTTGCGTCCGACGGCTTGGCTTTTTCATTCAAAGCGCACCTTCTGTTAAGTGAACATGTGTGATCTGAACTGACATTCAATAGCATAAAATAATTTAAAAAAAATGGATCTTCAATCACTAACAAATTTTTAAACAAGTGAATTTTCTAATAGAATCCAAGTGGTATTTTATTAAAAAACGTTTTTGCAACTTAAAAAACAACTAAGCTCAATAAATTTAAGATGGTGTACAAATTTAAAATATCATCAAACGGCGGCAATGCGCCCGTCAGCCGTTTGAAATGCGTAGCGGCACAAGTAAGGTTTTATTTTAAATTGTATAAGTTTTAAAATCTCATTATTATGATTTCGTCAATTAGTGTTACTGCCTGTGTTTGGTACCGCTGGTAGACATTATGTAGAACAGCTTTTAGATATTCAATTAAGATAGACTTCATCTTATGGCTTAAACGTTTTACTATCCGGCACAGCATCCGGTAGCATGCAGACGCCTGTGACCTCATATAACCATATAGGTACATATGTTTAACAAAAGTGTTGTTTCGCGAGAGCTCACGTGAGTAGGTTTAGAGCCTTGAGAGGCTATTTCAGCGTAACCTTACTAGTAGGCGAGCTCACGGGGCTCAAACCTGACGATCCTGTGTCGAATGTGATCATAGGCAACCTAAAAGAAGAGTAAAACTTTCAAATTAATTCTCAACCCCAGCAAAAGTACTAGCACGAATCTTTTATTATTTCTGAGAAGGGAACACAATAGTTATCAGAGCCAGTAGATATGAACAACGTTAATACCGCCATTCACCTTGAGACATGAGTTTTATAGTGCAACGGCTACCTTACTACTCAAATCGCGGCAGAAATAGACACGGTATTGGTACCTACTCGTGCGGGCTCACAAGATGCCGTACAACCAGTTTTGCTTGCCTGTACCCATGACGTAGCTGACGTTTATGAACGACTATGACCGGTCTGCATACAATACGATTTTTTATAATCGACTAGCTGACCCGGCAGACTTCGTAGTGCCTCAATCGATAAATAAAAGACCTAAACTTTTGTATAAAATAAACTTAAAACAAACAAAAGGAGTCCATCCGACGGGGGACACATTAGCCAAATCGGTCCAGCCGTTCTCGAGTTTTAGCGAGACTAACGAACAGCAATTCATTTTTATATATATAGATAGATTATATCGCTTCGTGACATTCTAACAAACTTCTTCTACTTTACTATTAGCTTATTCTAATGAACTCGTGTAATTTATATTTTGATCCATCCATGCCCTAACAGGTAAGATGCTCGGTGTCAAGATGCGAATATGCCTGGATGAATACGCCAACCGTACGCCAATAATATACGAACAAAAAATATGTATATTACTTAACTATATCTAACTATATATATATAACTGCTAATTACCTAACTAACTCCTAATTACCTCGGTGCAAAAATAAGAATAATGATCGTTTTTCATGATTCACAAAAGATTTTTTGTTCGTGAATTATTTGCGTAGGGTTGGCATATTCATCCAGGCGTATTCGCATCTTTCGATACATATATATAGGCACATATATATATATATACCTAGCTCCTAATTACATAATATACATGTATATTAGCATATTCTCTCAGGTTGAGCCCGCGAGCACACCTACCCTTCCGGGCGTAGCTGAAATAGCCTCACAGGCTACCAGCGAATAGGTAGAAAGAAAAAAAAAAGAAAAAATAATAATAATAATAATAATCGGACGAGGCGTGAGCTTGTCAATCAATCAAGTCCAAAAAACATTATCAAACGTCTCGCTGTAAACACAGCAACGATTGCTTTTGGTACGATCGTAAAACAACTGTGAAATTGCTGCATATTTATACTACATATTTAGTCACGTGTGTCTTCTTATGAATATGTATTGTTTTCTAAGAAAACGTGTAGGATCGTTTCCGAGCTTGGTAACAAAGTAAAAAATGTATTTTATAGAAACGCTCTTAAGAATTAGAGATTGTGCGTTAATTAATGGCTGTTCATCGTGGGTAAGGGGGGCTGAACTGATTCGAATTTAACTACGCATGTTCTCCTCATCAGCATCCTCTTCCGCTTTGAATTTAAAACTTCTTTATCACCGTTAGTTACTATTCGAAACACAATGTAACCGAAATTACACTAAAAAGCGACAGTAAAAAGAGATAAAAATACAACTGTATATATACATGTTTAAGCTTAAACTGGGTGGGAATGAGATTGAATATTCCGGTAGATTCTAATTCTATCATATGCAAACTGCATGTATGTTTTTAAACCTAAGCTAGAGGATGACCGGTTTTTTTTTTGATAAATTGTTTTTTAGAAATTATATTAAAATACGAATTACATATGTACAATTTATATTATATTGTTTGTTATTTTCTTTCAATAAAAAAAAATGTTTAAGTTGATTATCGATAAAGTTGAATATTGAAAACACGAATAAAACAACATTTTCTGAAAATAAATCGTAGCTATATCGATTTATCGCCCCCGAAATCCCCTGTATACTAAATTTTATGAAAATCGTTGGAGCCGTTTCCGAAATTCTGATTATATATATATTTATATACAAGAATTGCTCGTTTAAAGATATAAGATTACTTTGTCATTGCAAAATTTTTCGATACGACTTTAATGTTGAAAACAAAAACCACTTTCTTATTTTACAGTTATTGGCCAGTATGTCCGCGAATCTTCTGCTCTTGGACCTCGGCATGGCTATCAGCTTTGCAACTATAGCCCTTCCTGATTTACTTAATTCGAAAGAAGGATTGTCGTTCAATGACATTCAAGCGTCATGGTTCGGTAGGTATTTATTAAAAACGACTATAATTTATTACACTCGACCGAAAATCTTGTTTTAAACAGATCCGAGAACGGGTTCGTCGTAAAAAGTTTGACTAAACAAGACGAATGTAGATATTTTTACTCAACAAATGTTAACGATTGACTTCCACGGTGAAGGAATAACATCGTGTAATAAAAATCAAATTCGCAAAATTATAATTTGCGTAATTACTGGTGGTAGGACCTCTTGTGGGTCCGCGCGGGTGGGTACCACCGCCCTGCCTATTTCTGTCGTGAAGCAGTAATGCGTTTCGGTTTGAAGGGTGGGGTAGCCGTTGTAACTAAAACATGAGACCTTAGAACTTATATCTCGGGGTGGGTGGCGCATTTACGTTGTAGATGTCTATGGGCTCCAGTAACCACTTAACACCAGGTGGGCTGTTAGCTCGTCCACTCAGCAAAGCAATAAAAAAAAAAATATTTAGAATTGTGACTTAGATTTATATTGTAACCGCTACGTTTGGCACAGCTTATCTATGAAAAAAAAGCAATATGAGTCTTGACTGAGGTCAAGCTTGAAGCATCCGTCTACTTATTTACTGCATTAAAGAGTATAGAAGTTTGTCACATGAGATGAATTCTCAAAAATCTGCCCTCTACACAGCCGATTAAATTGTATTTGCTTAATTGTTTGATAATAAATTTCAGGTAGTCTATCGTATTTGACTCAGCCGCTCGGCGCGATTCTCTCTGGCCCTATTGTAGATTATTTGGGCAGGAAGAAAGCTAGTATTTTTGTTAACATTCCACATTTAATAGCCTGGATTTTGGCGTACTTTTCTTGGAATTTGCCAGCTCTTTTCATTGCAAACGGCTTGCTTGGCATAGGCACTGGTCTTATGGAAGCACCAATAGCAGCCTACGTTGGAGAAGTAACGTTAGTATCTAAATAATTTTCTTTATCAAATAATATACTAGGTCTTGTAAAAATGCCAAAAATCAGCTGGTTATAATGATCCCTACCACCGTCCTATCTACAATAAAAAGTTTAAATAATCAAGTTACAGTACATATACACACAATGTTTAAAGTTATATAGCTAACAAATTTTAAATGTGATGATGATAAAAAATGACATTCAGCCAATGCGTTGTATCAATCAAATGTAGTCGTTATTTTATAGATTGCATCAATAAAGAAAATACCAATGCAGGTTTTTGTAATTAGATATACATTAAAATTTATTATAAACACTGATGATTTAATGTTTGAAATTGGAGGTGAACCTAATGTCATTTTTTTCATTTTCCAGGGAACATTCAATACGCGGCTCGTTATGTACCGTGACGCAACTTTTCTTGGCAATTGGAATCCTCATCATGTACTTTCTCGGTACGGTGGTGAACTGGCGTAATGCTGCCCTTATTTCTGTCGGAGCTCCGATTTTGGCAATACTATTTTCATTATTCGTAAGTATTCGAAATCGACTACAGAGCTTACTCCTAATATTTTTTTTATATTGCTTAGATGGGTGAACGAGCTCACAGCCCACCTGATGTTAAGTGGTTACTGGAGTCCATAGACATCTACAACGTACATGCGCTACCCACCTTGAGATATAAGTTCTCCTCCTCCTCGAGTCGCGTTCCTCATGTCTGAGGGTCGTGACCACCATCACCCATGAGCTTCAATTTTAGGATCTTTTTCCACTTTCCCCTGTCCACGGCGTCATGCAGCGCGCTGTACACTGTACTGTCCAATGTCCAAATTAGTTCTAAGTTCTCAGTATAGTTACAACGGCTGCCCCGCCCTTCAAGCCGAAACGCATTACTGCTTCACGGCAGAAATAGGCGAGGAGGTATAGTACCTACCCGCGTGGACTCATAAGAGGTATTACCACCAGTTGCTGACAATGGCCCTAACAAGAGTAGTCATCATCATCGTCATCGTCAACCTATATGACAGACCATTGCTTGAGATAGCCCTCTCCAATCACACGCCACTGAACATGATCCTATATCACAACAGAAGCTATGATGTTGTCGATTCATGCTGTTAAGAAACAATTTAAAGACTAAATTATATTGAAAACGCTCTAGGTTCCGGAGACACCAGTTTGGCTTCTATCTCAAGGCCGAGACAAGGATGCTCTCGACTCTCTTTGCTACCTTCGTGGATGGACCACACCGGATCAGGTTAAAGAAGAATTCGACGACCTCGTTGTCTACTCGCGGAATTTACATCAATGTGTCATTTGTATCAAAGAAGGGGAAAAGGAACAAGACTGTGATCATCACAAAATGAATATTTTTAAAAGGTAAGCAATTCAGAACTCTTTTCGGACTATTAAATTAGAATATTATTTGTTATAATAACACACATTTATATTAAAAAGATGTAAAACTTTTGAGGTACAGTACAGCTCTATACAGCTATTAATCAGGAGATGCAACACCAGTTTCCTTTACTACTACTACTACTGCTACTACTGATTATTCCTCATTCATTTTTATCGGAGAATGGTCATCTAACGGAGTAGTATCTTCGTCTTATTTTCTTGCTCGATTCTCTCACGGATTTTTGTTGTCATTTTCCAATCCAAGTGGATCCAATTAAAGTGGATCAATGTCAGATACCTGGACGTGATTGACGTGAAAGCTGCAAGCTGTCATATGCGAATATTTGGGGTCGACGCAATTTATAGGTTATTCTCCATACCTATAGATTCTGTCCAAAAATTAAATTTTAAGTAAAATTCAGTCCAGTCCAGTGTCTAAAGTGTGAAAATTTCGTATGCTCCGATAAATTCTTCATCAGGATCAAATTATATATTGATTTGGCACAAATTAGGTTAAATACGATTAAGAAAATGGCTAAAGAGGTAAATAGCAATTTGTTTGAATACAGCATGAGGGAACATGAGTCGAAGACAATATAATTATCCAATAATCGTACTCGTCGAACTCGGCAAAAAGTTCGAAGTGCAACCTAACCTAAGCATAAGCCCGCTGAGTTTATCGCCGAATCTTCTCAGTGGGTCGGGATTCCAATCCGGTAGTAGATTCAGTCGGGAAACAGCTGCCCTTGAGTTGTTGGGTCTCCTCTGGAGGAGTTCGGGTAGCCGTTAGCAAACCCCACCCCTCCTGGCTGAGCCCGTGCTCGCCCACCTGTCCTGGTGAAACTGGAAAGGCCGCCGAGTCACCAGTAATCCTTCAATCTAAAAAATACCTAATATCCTATCAAACCACAAACAGCTATTATACCAACAACTAAAAATTGCAAGCGTATTATATTTTTAAAAAGAATGACAATTAATTAATTATCCATGCATAATTTACTAATTATCCAACAATAATTATTATCACAGGTCCTGGCTGAAATTCAAATACGTGATGTTGGGAAAAGCAACAATGAGACCGCTCTCTTTAGGGCTCTTGTATTTTATGTTCTACGTCATGAGTGGCCTGACCCCCATCAGACCAAACATGGTAAACATATGTGGTGCCTTTGGAATGGATGCAAATGAGAAACAAATTGTGGTAAGTCATGAAGCAATTCGATTTCGTAATTCTCAAGAAACTAACGTCTAAATTGAAGTGACTTACTTCGTTTTGTCTATTCTAAATTTTTACTTTCTTGTATTACCATTATGTAATAGTTTTCAACTATGTATATCTTGATATAACTTCTTTGTCTCCACATTATCCCATTAGGCGGGGTTGGCACCACGAATTTTTCTATTCCATTCTCTTCTATCAGCCGTCATCTCAACACTCACTCTCGATATAAATAAAGGCATAATAGGGAAACGAAATAGATTGAATTATTACATCAATCATTTGTTTATTTTCTAATACACATTCACTGATAGTAATTTCATGTAAAAATTATGTTTCAGCTAATGGTGGGGATTCTAACATTCGTCGCGGCCCTGTTTGTTATTGGCCTTATAAAACTCGCTGGCAAACGAAAACTTGGAATCACTGCCATGCTAGGAACAGCAATATCCTGCACTGCCCTTAGCGTTTACGCGAAAATGAATCTGTCGGATTCTGTATTTTCTTACGACACCACCACATTTCCTACGCAGAAGAGCAGCATACCTTTGATATTTTTGTACGCTTTGACATTGTTCACTGGCAGTAATGTATCTTGGGTATTACTGGGTGAGATATTTCCATTCAGGTAAGAAAATAATTTAAATACATATTTGTATAATTTTTTGCACCGTAATAGACCGAATTTAGAACAGTGGTGAAGCGTATTGAAAAAAAGAAGATCGTACTATAAATGAGAAGTAAAATAGTATAGTAGCTTTTGCTAGCCGATCTTGCATACTCGTCCTCAGATCTCCTAGCAAAAACAGTTTGTATATTTAAAAAATCTCATTGACCTGGTGATTATCATCTTTTTTTAGTATAATTCTTGCGTATTTTTTAGCATTATGTAATCATGGTTGCCGTTCGTGAACATTTATTTCCCCAGAAATTGTATGTGTTTTTAAGGCCTATAGGAGCTTTTAGGTACCCCAAAAACCGGTCATTGTCCTTGTCGAACCCGTCGCTTGCGACAAAGGGATCGACGAGTAAATTACCCCACAGACACAGCCCACTGAGTTTCTCGCCGAATCTTCTCAGTGGGTCGTGTTTCCGACCCGGTGGTAGATTTTGCGAAGCACCGCTTTTACTAGGGTTAGTGTTAGCAACGTCGTCAGGTTTGAGCCCCGTGAGTTCCTATTCGCTAGGTTACGCTGGCATAGCCTCAAAAGGCTACAAGCTTAAGTAGAAAAAAAGGCCTATTATTACGGTGGTTACATCGCCTTGATAATATAAACGTTTTAGCCCACAGCGATGCGTTTCGGTGTGAAGGGTGGGGCAGCCGTTGTAACTATACTGAGACCTTAGAACTTATATCTCAAGGTGGGTGGCGCATTTACGTCGTAGATGTCTATGGGCTCCAGTAACCACTTAACACCAGGTGGGCTGTGAGCTCGTCCACTCATCTAAAAATATAAATAATAATAATAAATAAAGAATTTTTGTTTATATTTTCTAATTAATCACCTTAACCGAATGTTTTTTTTGTTTAGGAGCCGCGCGACAGCTCAGGGCATTGCAGCCGCTTGGAACTACATAGTTACATTTTTTGCCTCAAAAACCCACATCGATCTTGAAATAAGTCTACGACTCTGGGGCACCTTCGCTGTGTACGGTGCTTTTGCGTATGCGGGCACTATTTATTTGTACTTCTTTATGCCAGAAACTGAAGGGGTGCCTTTACACGAAATCGAAAATTTCTATAAAGGCGATTTAAGAACGTTTGCGGACGACCCTTTTATTCGTTTCTTTAGGAAAATATTAAATATTAAAATGTGATAATTTAAACACACTAATTGTGATACCCAATAAATTCTTAAGAATTACGTATAATAATGTATTAGGAACTAATGTATGTAATGTATTAGACACGACAGAACCGCTAAAGCACAGTGGTAGGTACCTCGACATGGGAGTTTAATACGTTTCGTAATTCAAATTCTGTATGAATTCCGTTCCGTATGTCAAATTGCTTGTATCTCAAAGCAATTTTCCCCATTGAAATTAATTGAAATGCCATTAATCTGTTACAGTTCCCGAAAAAACCACCTCAGTCGTTTTTGTTAAGTGTTTTTTTGAAATAGCGAAAATGTATTTACAAGAAAAAACATTTATTAATGAAAAGGAACATTTATTTATAAATAACAAATACATATTCAAGAAAAACATAATAAAATAAAAAGTGCTAGAGTTAACTTATTCTTCATGGTGCGAGTTTTTTAACTTCTCGATCACTTGCGTAAAACGTAAAACTTAACTCAAATTTGTATGGAGTTGGAACGTTTGCCAAATTTGCCGCTAGGGGCGCTGTTCCAACACCATACAAATTTGAGTTAACTTTTACGCTATCGAGAACGTTAAAAAACTCGCACTAAGCAAACTGGCATCGTCTTCTCCTGTGCCGTCTGCTTCGAAAACGAGGGAACAAGCATACAGACCGAGGTCTAGTCTGAGGTGGGAGAAACTGTTCGACTTATGTTAGTTGGGGTCGTACGCAGCGACGTATAGTCCCCGGTACGTAACTTGGCAAGAGTCGTTAGATGCGCAGAAGTCGTTTTTTAGGTCTCTTTGGTTGTCAAGCGGGACGCGGGGAAAGACGTAGCACCGTTCCGAGCGCGCGATTGGTGAGTCAGTCGACGCTCCCCTCCCGCACCGCGTCCACGTTCCGTTCGCTCCCGGATACACATGCGCCTACTAAGTTGTAGGATACCCTTTTTTATATTAAGTTTTTGTTAGGAGTTGTTATTATTGTTTAAATTTAGTTTTTGTTACGAGTATTATTGTTTTAAATTTGTTTGCAATGCCAGGACCAAATACCAATGACCATATAGTAGATTCAGTCACTGAGCGTTTTATTATTTACGCCAGTGACGACAGCGACTCTTCGTTATGTCGACGATGAGGAGCCAACACCTTCCACTAGCTCAGGTGCTACCATAAATTTAATCCAAGGGGTAGCACTATTAGAAAATGATAGTGACGACGGCGACACATAATTTTTAATATTAAGTATATTTTTTAAAATAAACTTCTTAACTTTTAATTGTATTTTATTTATAACACCTAATACACTTCACGAATTCCTCTCTTTTCTTTAACTTTCTTCAAAACACACAGGCTTAAAAATAAGTTATGGCAAATAAACAACAAAATAAAATAAAATTAAATTATATGCGGGCAATGAAAGTGACCATTTTTTTGTTGCAATGTGCACTATGCGCGACATTACCCCCACACAACAAAACCTTGCCAACTTACGTGCCGCTTACTATATCTCAAATCTTGCTCTCATTTCAAAGCAAAATATCGCTCACTCAGCGTTTATTAGGGCACTCGTATATCGAGGTACCACTGTTTAATGAAACGATCACGAAATAATGTATATTCTATCAAATTCTAAAGCACATTGTCTATTTATTGTGTACCTTTGAATACAAAAGATCCAAACTTTATAACTTATGCGTAGACCAAAAGTAAATAAATAAATTTTATTTTAACAAATTCCGTCCACAACATTTTGTAGTTTGGAGTGTGAAACTACAAGTAGTTTATTAGAACTACCATAGATGGCGCTTATACCCAATTTAATATTGACTAAATTATTTTCGTTAGTTTTCGGCACTGAAGTACTATATAGGTCTACTAGTCTAGTCAACAAGTTCAAAAACGTGTTAAATAGACATAAAGCTCCTAAAAATATGTACGATAGCTCATTGGATGCGGAATGATGTCTACAAAAATGTTTTTTAAGGGCTTATTAGCACATAAAAAATTGCGATTGTTATAAACAAAATAAGATTTTAAAAAAAAGGAATTTGGTTTTTCCTTAATTATTTCTAAAATAATGATATTTAAGAAATTTTGAAAAAAGATCCTGAAAGAGGAGGAAATTTCCAATAAAAAAGTCCCAACTCCCGGAATTCTATCCCTATTATTTATAAAAAAAAATTAACGCTGAAAATAGCGCTCCGCGAGGTCGTTACGGCATAGGCGCGCCGTCTAAAAAGCCGGTATATCACCTAAAATATTTTTTTTATAGTATTAAATAACAATTTAAAAATTTGAATAAATTATGGTGTAATCTAAACACTTGAACGAAAAAAACCTAGGTGAAAAAAAAATTTTACATCGNTATTTTAGAAATAATTAAGGAAAAACCAAATTCCTTTTTTTTTAAATCTTATTTTGTTTATAACAATCGCAATTTTTTATGTGCTAATAAGCCCTTAAAAAACATTTTTGTAGACATCATTCCGCATCCAATGAGCTATCGTACATATTTTTAGGAGCTTTATGTCTATTTAACACGTTTTTGAACTTGTTGACTAGACTATACCGTTTTCGGTCACTTAAATTTAGGTTCTTAAATTATTTAAAGAAACGTAACGTAATTAATAAATGTCGTTTTACATTAAGATTACAGGTTAATTTACTGAATAGTTCCAAGCTTAATAATATGAATTGCTTATTGACAAGAATTCGTCAGGTTTGAGCCCCGTGAGCTCACCTACTAGTTAAGGTTAGCCTATCAAGGCTACCAGCTTAGGTAGGAAAAAAAAAAAGCGACAAGAAAACAATTAACCTATTAACCACTAATAAATTATTTCGTTAGTGATAACAAGCAATAACTTTAAAAGAACACAATGAATAAGTAATGAAATTAAGGAGACAATGATTCGGTACACTTATAACCTAAAAATATATAATAATATATTTATATTATGTACATAGTTGCCACGCAAATTGGTAAAGGCGTATGCAGACATAATAAAAATATTTTTACGGCTTAACCTCGCGACGACGACTAATCGTCCGTGACAAAAACTGTAAAAGTATTTGAAACGTCTGAAATAATTAAATAAAAACAATAAACCCGCGATTAAGCCATAAAAAGTGGCTTTAAGTAGTTATGTATGTACATAAATCTTAAGGACGAATTAAATTACATTAGTAGTGTCTTTTTTTTATTTCAATCAGTGAAGTTTTCCCCAAAACATATACACAACAATTTGAAACGAATAGTTTTAAATGAAAATATTTGCTTAACCATTAGATAAGTTGTAGAATAGCGTGAATGTACCTGTGGTTACTATTTAAACAATTAATAAAGCCGCACAAACTAATTTTATTTGCGTCTAATGATTTTTATCACAAGACTCTGTCAACTTCTACCCTCATAATTATTGTACTTGCATATTGAAATATTAATCATGTGATTTCATACTATTATTAATGGTATATATCTATTTATTGTATGTATCGACGCTTGAAAGGCAAACATGACTAAGCGACAATGCGTGAACTTAACGGTAGACAAATTTAAAGTTGAAATACCTGAAAACTAAATTTATTTTAACGAATCTAGCTGTAGTAGAATCTAGCTAGTAGCTGTAGGATTGAAATGATTTTAATAGAACTAGAAATATATATTTTTTGCGCATCGAATATGGTTATTGCCTATCATATATGTACAAAGCAGTTATTGGCGCTTAGTCATGTTTGCCTTTCAAGCGTCGGTATGTCTTTTCTACCATAATGTATTATTAATAGTACACCGCACTGCTGTATATTTATATTTTCCAGAATTTCTGTAAATGAAACGGTCGTCTGGAAGAGATCGCTTTTATCGATAAGACCGCCTATCTATTATTGATCGAAGCCGCCTAATGTATAAATGTATCTACTTGTTGACTGTTTTTTTAATGTTGTATTTTGGTGTGCATTAAAGTATATTCTATCTCTCTCTAATTCTTAAAGTTCTGCAATCAATGTGGCCTTTCATAGTGGTAACCCGTATTATAAGCCTGGACGGGTAGCCACTGCCCTAACATTTTTTGCCGCGAATCAGTATTGAATTACGCTGTAAAAATTGAAACAGTTTTTTATGCTATACAATTGATACTTAGACCTTATGGTGTGTTTAATCTGAACTATGACTATGGGCTCTCATTTATAGAACAGACTAAGATACACCTAGTTCAGAGTTAAGGAGCACATTGCGGAAGTCAAGAGACCGGCTAAACTAGTCAGCAGTTTGTCTACGATTCATGAGAACCTAAGAAAATAGCCTTATATCTCAGTCAGCATGATAGCATTTATATTGCCATTCTTATCCACTGCCGTAATCACTGAAGACAGGGGGATAGTAAACTTGTTCGTTCTTCTACGCAATAGATAGGATAAGAAGGTTAGATCGTCGGTTGTTTCCTATATAATGGTGGTAGGACCTCTTGTAAGTCCGCGCGGATAGGTACCACCCTACCTATTTCTGCCGTGAAGCAGTAATGCTTTCGGTTTGAAGGGTAGGGCAACCGTTGTAACTATACTTGAGACCTTAGAACTTATATCTCAAGGTTAATGGCGCATGAAGTTGTAGATGTCTATGGGCTCCAGTAACTACTTAACACCAGGTCGGCTATGAGCTCGTCCACCCATCTAAGCAATAAAAATAATAATATAGTAATAATAATAATGACCTGTTAATATTATGGCAGTACTCCATCCGCAGTATCATGATGGTCACGATGATCAGAAGATACCACATCACTATATACGAAAATTATTCGTGTTGATACACGACGTGAAACCGTGACCAAAACATTTCATTGTTCTTCGAGCCTCTGAGATAATTCACTCGTCCTGTCCAACTGTTTAGTCATAGTTGCGTAGTTAGCGGGTATCATAGACGGCATAAAAATACGAGATTACGTCTTTCAACATTTTATCAGTTAAGAAGTAGGCACATGTATATCTATCTACAAGTACTCATGAGTAGTAGGAATTTACTGTATTAAAAGTTTAATATGACAGCGGAAAATTCTGCGGTCACTTTCCGATTTGCAGAGAAACAATTATGCACAATTGAGACTTCAACCTCATGGGTCAAGGTGGGTCACCTTGTCCCATGAGGTCGGTCGGGCGTCCTCGGGGTGGCGCCGCGTGTCTGGTTGTAGTGTTGACCGCGGGAACCCTCCTACTCTGGCCGGGATCTGACCCCGGACGGAGATCGGACGTCGGGTGTAAGAGTGCAGGGGAGTCGTTTAGTGGGTGGGCCCTAAAATCCTTGGGCCCGCGATCTATTCTCAACACCTGCAGATCGTTGAGTCTCACATACCCCGCGCGCCCCTTAAGCGCGGGGACCTCGTAGGAGGTTCGGCCCCCGGCCCGGAAAAACAAAAAAGGGTCAATAAGTGCGGTGTGGGATTAAATAACTACTTAATACGCGGCGGAGTCGTTCAGCCTTCATAGTAATTATTCAAATGTGGCAATAGTTTAACAATATCGTCTTCTCGCATTAAAACTGTATAATCTCAAAACTAATTTTACAGGAGAGTGTTTTAAAGGTTTAACATGTTATATTTTTAATATTAATCACCTTTGCAACATTAATTTTTTTAATAGCTCCATTATCTGTCTTTTAAAGTAAGATAAAATTATGTATTAATTTTGTTAATAGTAGTCAAAACATAGATAGGTAAACTAAAAAAAAAAACTAAAACTAAACTACGCTCTTTTGACAGTATTTATGAGATAAATACTGGTGGTACCAAATGATTCCGCATATTAACTCAATTTCGAATATTTTTGGATATTGTACACTTTTAATGCGAAAAGACGATATATTGACACTATTGTTGGCACGTACTTTACCTATAGCGTAGTGTAGTGACACGTCTCTCGGAACTGGTAAATAAAAAACCCAATGACAAAGTGTTTACTTTTATAAATTGTAAAAGTTAATATTTACAAAACGTAATAAATTTTCAAACACAATTTTAACTGAACGAGAATAATTTTCCACAAAATGCTTAAAAGGCGATAAATAGAAAAATGTATTTAACATTTAAATATAGTTACCGTTGAATACAAAACGTCACGTATGATTTATAGTAAGACTGTACGCTGAAGGTCTTTATGATAAATAAATTCTTGTAGTTCACGTGTGTCAATATTTGTTTGAAGTCGTCGTGGCCTAAAGGATAAGACGTCCGGTGCATTCGTGTTGAGCGATGCACCGGTGTTCGAATCTCAGGCGGGTACCAATTTTTCTAATGAAATATTATACATACTCAACAAATGTTCACGATTGACTTCCACGGTGAAAGAATAACATAGTCTAATAAAAATCAAACCCGCAAAATTATAATTTGCGTAATTACTGGTGGTAGGACCTCTTGTCAGTCCGCGCGGGTAGGTACCACCACCCTGCCTATTTCTGCCGTGAAGCAGTAATGCGTTTCGGTTTGAATGGCGGGGCAGCCGTTGTAACTATACTTGAGACCTTAGAACTTATATCTCAAGGTGGGTGGCGCATTTACGTTGTAAATGTCTATGGGCGCCAGTAACTACTTAACACCAAAGTGGGCTGTGAGCTCGTCCACCCATCTAAGCAATAAAAAAAAACGTCATGGTGATCCCCATGTCGCTCGTGGTTTGTTGAGCGATAGGAAATTTCAGTCGGACTCCGATATTGCCTGTATAGCGCCCCCAACGCGTTGACGGATCCCGCCGATGTCCGTCTGACCAAAACAATTAGTTTTTTCGTAGAGTAGAGGGTCCATTTTGACCCCAAGTTTTCTATGTGGTGCTTAAGTATCACGTTGAAAAATCCAAATGAAAACTAAATATTAACATTTAAATCACCAACAGTTTGCAGTATGAAATAGATAATCCACGAGTGAGTCAGTCACATTCTTCACAGTCTATGTAAATGTTTTACATTTTCCATTGTTCATTGTCCGATTGTGATGTGTCAGTGTTTAAGCACATCACTTGATTGTTCTCATATCAGAATCTTCTCAGAACTTAAAATTAAAATACAGGGCAGGCAGGGTGGTGGTACCTACCCGCGCGGACTCACAAGAGGTCCTACGACCAATAATTACACAAATTATAATTTTGCGGGTTTCATTTTTTTTTCCACGTATTTGACAGGATGTCTTGTTGGCGGTAGCCAGATCGACCACTGGCCTCTCGTTCAGTGAGCAATCCGAGACCTACTTACGTACCGCCAGCGTATGTTCAGCGTATTCGCATTGTCGGTCCTATGCATTCAATGCTCACCTACTTCCCTAAGCAATCATGCTCGTTTAGCACCTGTACCAGTCAAAGGTTGGGCTGACCTAGGTCACCCAGCACCCGAAGACCTGGTTCATCACTTCGATCATTAAAAATCTATACAAATAAATAAAATAACATAACCACTTTTTACTAAATGCGTAAGTATGTATACACCACAGTTCATATACCAAAATGTATATTTTTTTATTTTTGTCTGTCTGGCTGTGTGTTTGTTCCAGCTAATCTCTGGAACGGCTGGACCGATTTTGATGAGACTTTTACTGGTAGGTAGCTGATGATATAAGGAGTACCTTAGGCTACTAAGCTTTTATTAGACTAGCTTAACCCGCGGTACGATAATAACCGCGGGTAACATCGCGGGACTCAACTAGCAATAATAAAATTTAATATTTCCGAAGCGGAGCGAGGGCGGGTCGCTAGTTAATAATATAAGTTATTTATCCTTGACATTGTTTTGCAAAGAAATGCATCAAAGGAATTATCAAAAAATAAATATTTTTCTAGTCAGTATAAAATACGAAAACTCAATTCGGTGTAATTTAAATGTAAATACCAGGATCAACAAGCGTAGACTATGACATAAAAAGAAAATTAATAAGAAAAAGAATCTACATAAAACTAATAAAATAACGAATAGCAAATAGTGTTTATGTTTGCAAATCTAAGGAGAAAACAGTGTCAACCTATAAAACCTCATTTTACAAGAACATCTATTCTTAATATATTTATATATACCATTAAATATAAATGTAATCCTTTCCAAATATTATTCCATGATATAATTAAAAATATAATAGTTTTAACATTTAATCATGCATTTTTATTTTCATTTTGGTATTTCTGACATTTCAAAAACTTTAAAATGTTCGATAAAATAATTTTACGTACGATTAAACCGCAAAAACAAGTTTTATAATTATGTCTACAACTCGCGTAATCTGATGAAAATATGCACCGTATTTCCCAAAGTATTCGTTTCATGCGATAACACACTTTTCAAACGACTTTACAAACGATCTCAAATAATAAAACTAAACAAAGATAATCTCATTACCTTATTCCCATGCGAGCTTAGAACTAGTAAACGAGTGATATCAGACTAGAATACAAACAAATGCATTCATGATTTACGCTGAAAAGATATAAAAACACAACGCATCCATTTTTAATAACCGGTATTCTTTATCAACTCACTCATTTGCATCCGTTTGGTTGAAGAGAACGGCTGAATTGGACATAAAATATGTGCACCTCTTATTTAACTTAATATAAAAAAAAACGGTGATGGTAATATGTATAATGAAAGCGAAGATTTTTAGTGACAAACATATTACTTAATTTTGAAAGTTTCAATATTCCTCAAAATGGTGCACAAAATTCAAATTGAACAAAAGATTCCGTCTGTGAGCAAATTTAGATCAGTCCTGTCACAGGTACCTATATATTTTTTTATAAAAACTATATTCACTACAGCTTAGAATGATAATAATGTCAAAAGCAGAACAGAAACTGTATTAAACATCCTTATTGAATTCAAATTTAAAAAAGTCTAGTCAAAACCACCCATATTACTCTAATATTACTCTAGTGTTAGAATTTCTCTAAAGTTATTTATTTTATTTCTTTTATCACAACGAAACAGTGAACAAGCAAGACATAAACCTCAGGTCTTAAGGTGGGTGGCGGCTGTCACGTTGTGATATACATCATATATTGGCTCGGGTAACCACTTAACACCGGACGGGCTATGAGCTAAATCAATTTTTTATTAACAAATAATTAAAAGAAAAGTCATTAACAGAGGTATTGGTAAATTCGAGTTTTACTGTTTAATTAAACACCAGATACAGGCACCAGATCAACAGTTTTTTTTTTATTTTTTTATTGCCTTTGTAGGCAGACGGGCATACGGCCCACCTGATGGTGAGTGGTTACCGTCGCCCATGGACTTCAGCAATGCCAGGGGCAGAACCAAGCCGCTGCCTAAGTTTTCTGAGCGTGCTAAAAACATGCAGACAGATTTTTGACACATAAATGCCAAACATACCGAAAAGTGTGTTTACAAAGTTATATTTAAAAAAAAAATATTTTAAAAAACCAACAAAATACGCTTTTATAGAAAATCCAACTAAAAAATTGAAAATAAATTTTAATAAATTTGAATTAAAAATAGCGTAAGAAAAAAATATTTTATTGTAAAAAAGCGTGGGGTGCTTTTCAGGATATTATCAAAATAACCTTTCTACTCATATCTGTTCATAAAATATTTATAGCTACTGATACAATGCACCCCACGCTTTTTTTACAATAAAATCATTTTTTCTTATACTATTTTTAATTCAATTTTATTTTTTTTATATTTAATTGTCATCGGTCCTTAATAAGTATACCCAATTTGGAGTTAAACCGACGTTTTGAAGGGGGTCAAAATCATGTTTAAAGATTCCGTTACAAACATACATACATACGTCTGAATAAGAATAAGCAAACATACATACGCTAATAAAAGCGTATTAAAAAAGTCTAATTTATTGTAGTTTAAATAATCGTCGTTTATTTTCAGCTAATAGCATGTATGTCTCCAAACTTACTTCTGTTGGATCTTGGTATGGCCGTAAGCTTCCCAACCATAGCTTTACCGGCTTTGCTGAATGCCACAGAAGGATTGTCTCTGACGCAAGTAGAGGCTTCGTGGTTTGGTAAGTTCAAAACGAATGAAATCTATACCTTAGAAAACGAGGCTTCGTGGCGAAGATGTTTTTTTATTGCCCTTGTAGGCAGAAAGCATACGGCCCACCTGATGGTGAGTGGTTACCGTCGCCCATGGACTTCAGCAATGCCAGGGGCAGAGCCAAGCCGCTGCCTTCCGCTTAATACTCTCCACAAGCCTCGTTTGAAGAAGGACATGTCATAGCGCTCGGGAAACACCGTGGAGGGGAGCTCATTCCATAGCCGGATGGTACGTGGGAAAAAAGACCTCTGGGAACGCACTGTGGATGACCGCAGTGGCTCCAGGTAGTATGGATGAACTCTACTCCGGTGGCAGGCGGTGCGATGGTAAAAACGAGATGCCGGTATCATCTCGAAGAAGAGGAAGACTTTGGTCTTCCTCTTCTTCTTCTTCTTCTCTGGAGGCGCCGGAGTCCGACATAACCCGGTCTATTACCCCTCTCGACCGGGTATCCGTAAATAGATTCCCCAGCGTAAAAAAAAAAGGTGAGCTCACGGGCGCAATCTGAGAGAATTGCTATGACTAGCCCCAGCAAGAGCAGTGCTTCGCTGAATCTACTACTGGCTAGGAATCGCGACCCACTGAGAAGATCTGGCGAAAAACTCAGTGAGTTGTGTCTATGGGCTAATTCACGCGTCGAACTCTTCCTTGAAGATTCTAAAAGCACCGAGAGTGGGTCCGAGATATCCGACAAGACATGTTTTGGGTGATGGCGGCCTTACTTTGGCCCGTCACCTGCGTCAGATATATAGTTAGCGGGACAAAGCGCAAACAAGCCTATTCATCACACGAATGTTTGTCCGATGTGGGAATCGAACACACGACCCTCGGCATAACCGTCTGGGCTGCTAACTACCACACCACCGAGTCCGTCAATTAGTTTGTAACATTCACAAGTGGCTATTGGCTAGTGGCTGTGCATTATTTTTTTGTTTCTCTAATAATGTAACTTGTAAAAATAATGTAATGTAAAAATAGAGTAACTGGAGCCTTGAGATATAAAGTCTATGCTAATTCTAAGGTCTCAAGTATAGTTACAACGGCTGCCCCACCCTTCAAACCGAAACGCATTACTGCCTCACGGCAGTAATAGGCAGGGTGGTGGTACCTACCCGCGTGGACTCACAAGAGGTCCTACTACCAGTTTTATTGCGGCCTCTTTACTTTTTGCTCTATCTGCAACGGATGCATCGTTTTGAAACCTTTGCAGTTCAGCCTATTGAGTTTCTCGCCGGATCTTCTCAGTGGGTTGCCTTTCCGATCCAGTGGTAGATTCTGAGAAGCACTGCTCTTGCTAGGGCCAGTGTTAGCAACACTCCGGTTTGAGCCCCGTGAGCTCACCTACATGTTAGGGCGAAGCTGAAATAGCCTCTCAAGGCTACCGCATAGGTAGGATCACAAAAAATTGCAGTTTATTAATAGCGCATCAATGATAGTCTTTCTCTTTTTCCCCTGTATCAATGCCAATTGCTCATTTTGTATACCCATCGCACCCCACGCTTTTTTTCAATAAAATATTTTTTCCTTACACTATTTTTAATTGAAATTTATTAAAATTTATTTTCTATATTTTAGTTGGATTTTCTATAAAAGCGTATTTTTTTAGTCTTCTTAAACTATTATTTATTTAGCTTTACTCGTTATTGAAGAAAATAAGACAGTGGAAAACATTATTTGATAGGTAGTGTAGTTTAGTAGTGGTAGTCTTAATACAATCTTGTAAAGCTCCGATAACTCATTATGAATAACACCGTTAAACTTACTTTAATATACAGGAGCCAAATACATAATTCGACGCTTGAAAGGCAAACGTGACTAAGCGACAATAACTTCTTTGTACATAAATGATAGGCAATAACCATATTCGATGCGCAAAAATATATATATTTCTAGGTCTATTAAAATCATTTAAATCCTACAGCTAGATTCGTTAAAATAGATTTTTTTTCAGGTATATCAACTTTAAATTAGTCTACTGTAAAGTTCACGCATTGTCGCTTAGTCACGTTTGCCTTTCAAGCGTCGATGTAGACATTATATTGTTAAATGCGATGCGTATTTTAAAAACATTCATGGCTTAATCGATATGGGCAATTATTGGTTTCAAATGAGATTATTACGGGGTCGTCGTACTCCCTTACGGGGGCACGGAGCGGGCCTCGGGGTAAACCCCACTACCCGGGCAGACGCTCCCTGCCACACAGGGCAGGGGTGAAATAGATGCAAGACTGGATTGGGGGGAGGGCTGTTCGCAGCGTGCTTCGGCACACTCACATCGACAAAAATACATACATATATATAATACGATGGGCAGTCTGGTGACGGCTCGATGCCCGCGGCGGTGACACCCCGGCGCCGGCTGCTGTCCTCTGCTTCCTTACAGCTATAAATTTTTTTTTTTTTTTTTTTTTTTTTTTTTTTTTTTTTTNCGGAGATCACCTCGGACAATTTCTCCCACAGTGTGAGCAGCCATGCAGCAAAGCCGGCAGGCTGGGAGGCCTGTCGACCGCTGCGGCGCTCGCGCTGAGGGCGGGGGGGAAGGGGGGGCTGGCTGTTCATATTAAAATTGTCTTCGGCCAGATGGGCCGATGGCAATGGCAGATTGGAGTTCGATGTTTGGGCAGTAGGAGAGGCCTCATTGACCTCCATTGTCTCAACGATAATTTGGGATTGTTCGAGAGGTACAGCATCAGTCACTCTGATGGCTTCCTCTCTCTCTCGTGCCTCTATTTTTTATCTTTTTTCTTTTGTTTTTTCTTTTTGTTCCTTTTACTATTTTTTCCGGGTGCAGGACCGCCGGTCGGGCGAGGTGTAGGTGTGACACCAGCGGTAGTGCGACCACGAGGAACGGGAATGGGTTTATTTGTCCGCCGCGGCCGGTTGGCCTGCGCCATCAACGTGGTCGCTGACGGCTCAGCCTCCACTACCACGGCGGACGGAATGGAGTTTCGAGGGGTAGGGGCCGGGGGAAGGGAAGATTTCCCTTTCCCCTTCCCCTTCCCCCTTACTATGGGAAGTACAGCCGGAGGAGCTGCACCCCCGGCTCGAGGCACCGGTGGCGCAAGAGGAGGGACGGTGACTCCCATCATCCTGGCCCGTTTGCGGAAGACCGCACACCGTCTGTCGACGGCGACGTGGTCCTTCCCACAATTGGCGCAGGAGAATGGGCCGTCCCTCGGCCTCGGGCAGTCCGCCACAATGTGCTCTCCGGCACACCTTACGCAGCGGACCGCGCGATGGCAGTTGTAGGATGCGTGTCCGAAGGCCTGGCAGCGATGACACTGCGCGGGCCCTCGGGTTGGACGCCATCCCTCAACTGTCACCCCCGGCAAGTACAACAGTTCGTTGACTGCGTACAAGCGGGCGAGGTCGTCCCTTGAGAGGTGGTCCAGGGCTACGTGAAANACACAGTAGTGAAGAAGCGAGCAACCGTATTCCGCGTGTCCAACGAGGTCATTTTCCATCCTCGCTCATGGTATGGTTGGGAGTTTCTTATTGGGGCTTAACAGAGGTACATTTTTGTGAGAAAGGTGTAAAAACGAATGCAGTTGTGTATCAAAATACAGTCCTGACGAACCTTGTAGAACCTGTTTCTCATACCATGCTCAATAACAGGCACTGGGTATTCCACCAAGATTCGGCGCCAGCTCATAGAACGAAGAGCACACAAGACTGGCTGGCGGCGCGTGAAATCGACTTCATCCGGCACGAAGACTGGCCCTCCTCCAGTCCAGATCTGAATCCGTTAGATTACAAGATATGGCAACACTTGGAGGAAAAGACGTGCTCAAAGCCTCATCCCAATTTGGAGTCACTCAAGACATCCTTGATTGAGGCAGCCGCCGATATTGACATGGACCTCGTTCGTGCTGCGATAGACGACTGGCCGCGCAGATTGAAGGCCTGTATTCAAAATCACGGAGGTCATTCTGAATAAACTTTAATGTCATAAGAATCTATGTTTTGTTAAGTTCATTTTGGTATATGAATGGTTACATAATGAATAAACTTGTTTCAATTATTTTACATTAAACATGTGACAGAATTTATGACCTGACTAGGTATATGTTTATACATACACATATATAGATGATAAATACCCAGACAGAACGCTTTTTTTTGTTCCTACCTCGTTATATCGTTGGTAGCCTAAGGGGCTATTTCAACTTCACGTGGATCGGTAGGTGAGCTCACGGGCTAAATCTGAGAGAATTGCTACGGCTAGCCCCAGCAAGAGCAGTGCTTCGCTGAATCTACTGCTGGCTAGGAATCGCGACCCACTGAGAAGATCTGGCGAGAAACTCAGTGGGTTGTGTCTATGGGCTAATTCGCACGTCGAACTCTTCTTTTAAGAGTCTAAAAGCACCGAGAGTGGGTCCGGGATATCCGAAAAGATATGTTTTGGGTGACAGCGGCCGTCACCGTCACCTGCGTCGAATATATAGTTACCTAGTGGGTCAAAGCGCAAACAAGCCTGTTCATCACACGAATGTTTGTCCGATGTGGGAATCGAACCCACGACCCTCGGCATAACCGTCTGGGCTGCTAACTACCACACCACCAAGTCCCTCAATTAGTTTGTAGCATTCACAAGTGGCTATTGGCTAGTGGCTTTGCATTATTTTTTTGTTTCTCTAATAATGTAACTTGTAAAAATAATGTAATGTAAAAATAATGTAACTGGAGCCTTGAGGTATAAGGTCTATTCTAATTCTAAGGTCTCAAGTATAGTTACAACGGCTGCCCCGCCCTTCAAAGCGAAACGCATTACTGCTTCAGGGCAGAAATAGGCAGGGTGGTGGTACCTACCCGCCTGAACTCACAAGAGGTCCTACCACCAGTTTTATTGCGGCCTATTTACTTTTTGCTCTATCTGCAACGGATGCATCGTTTTGAAACCTTTGCAGTTCAGCCCATTGAGTTTCTCGCCGGATCTTCTCAGTGGGTTGCCTTTCCGATCCAGTGGTAGATTCTGAGAAGCACTGCTCTTGCTAGGGCCAGTGTTAGCAACACTCCGGTTTGAGCCCCGTGAGCTCACCTACATGTTAGGGCGAAGCTGAAATAGCCTCTCGAGGCTGTCGCATAGGTAGGATCACAAAAAATTGCAGTTTATTAATAGGGCATCGATGATAGTCTTTCTCTTTTTCCCCTGTATCAATGCCAATTGTTCATTTTTTATACCCATCGCACCTCACGCTTTTTTACAATAAAATATTTTTTCCTTACACTATTTTTAATTGAAATTTATTAAAATTTATTTTCTATTTTTTAGTTGGATTTTCTATAAAAGCGTAGTTTTTAGTCTTTTTAAACTATTATTTATTTAACTTTACTCGTTATTGAAGAAAATAAGACAGTGGAAAACATTATAATTATTTGATAGTGTAGTTTAGTAGTGGTAGTCTTAATACAATCTTGTAAAGCTCCGATAACTCATTATGAATAAGACCGTTAAACTTACTTTAATGTACAGGAGCCAAACACATAATTCGACGCTTGAAAGGCAAACGTGACTAAGCGACAATAACTGCTTTGTAAATAAATGATAGGCAATAACCATATTCGATGCGCAAAAAAAATATATTTCTAGGTCTATTAAAATCATTTCAATCCTAAAGCTAGATTCGTTAAAATAGATTTTTTTTCAAGTATTTCAACTTTAAATTAGTCTACTGTAAAGTTCACGCATTGTCGCTTAGTCACGTTTGCCTTTCAAGCGTCGATGTAGATATATTGTTAAATGCGATGCGTATTTTAAAAACATTCATGGCTTAATCGATATGGGCAATTATTGGTTTTAAATGAGATATTAATTATTTTCATTAGATACAGTAATATTGTATTTTTTTTGCGGTAAGCTACGTTATAGCTCAGATAACACAAAGAACGCGTCATCTACTGACTAAATTGCGCCTAATGGGAAGCGGTACGCAAAAACATCTACGTCGACTGACCATATCGAAGGGAAAGGTTTTTTTTTTTTTTATTGCCCTTGTAGGCAGACGAGCATACGGCCCACCTGATGGTAAGTGGTTACCGTCGCCCATGGACTTCAGCAATGCCAGGGGCAGAGCCAAGCCGCTGCCTACCGAAAATTGTTATTATTATTATTATTATTTTTGGTTATTTGTTTTAAGCGACATTTTTGCAACATTACCGGAGTGCGAGTTAAAGTGTAGATTTTCGAAAAATATCATAACAAGAAACTTATAATAACAAGAATATCGTCATAACAAGAAACTTCGTCAGCTATTTGAATGGAGTAAACTTAATTAAAGTTCAATTAAAAATATCGAACTGTTAATACTCTTATTTTTTTTTCGTACCTAAGCTGATGGTCTTGAGAGACCATATCAGCGTCACCGGGCAAGTAGGTGAGGTCACGGGGCTCAAACCTGATGTTATTGCTAACACGAACCCTTTTTTTTTTTAACGCTGAGGTATCCATTTACGGTAACCCAGTCGAGAGGGGAAAGAGACCGGGTTATGTCGGACTCCGGTGCCTCCAACGAAGAACAGGGAGAAGAAGAAGACAGAGGTCCTCCTCTTCTCCCAATTCCTGCCGGGAGACTACGCCTTGAGAAAGGCGCGCGAGGCAATGCACGGCGTCAGCCACGCAAGAGCTACCCCGCAAAACCGACTACCGACTAAACCCTGTTGAGCCCCACCACTCCGACTCCACGAAACCCACGGTAGCGCACAGTGCGCGCCGAAGGCTCGCCGTCGCCGGTACCAATCTTGATAATAAGACGGCACTCCATCCCCGGGAAAATCCCGCAGGACGTTGTCTCGGAGACACACCGTGAGCGGTGCACAGGAGCCACCTTGCGCCGCCTCACCACCGGACCGACAGCCGAGTACCGGGCACTCCCGCACCCGGCACCCGATAGCCCCTACGGGAGATGAACGGGAGCTTCGCGCCCATGCCGCCCACTCCGCCTTCTTCGCTCAGAAGCCGAAGAGGGATCCCACTCCCTTTCGCGCTCCTCAGCTAACACGAACCCTAGCAAAAGTCGTGCTTTGCAGAATCTACCACCGGATCGGAAACGCGACCCACTGATCAGATCCAGTGAGAAACTCAGTGGCCTGTGTCTGTGGGTTAATTTACTCGCCGAGCCCTTCGTCGCAAGCGACGGATTCGATGAGAAAGATGACCGGTTTTGATACTAATACTAAATAAAACACACCTTTAATTAATAAATAAATGTCGCGTATTAAGCGGAATGTCGCTTTTCACTCCTCTATATAGCTTAGGAAATATCCTAAACCTTCAATTTCTTAGTATGAATCTATGAAACTTAAAACGCATCTGTAACTACGTCTTCTAATATCATAGGATATTAGTAGACGTAGTTATAGATGAGTTTTAGAATTAAGTTTCACCTTGTTGCTCGTATGAGTTACGAGCCTAAACGAACACTATATTGTAGCGTTATTATTAATTCTACAGAACTAGCCAGGATCTAACGTAAAGAATTTACGAAGAATTGTCATCTTTATTGATTCATTTCTGCACTTTAATTATTTACATAAATTCTCCCAGGTTGAGCCCGTAAGCTAACCTACCCATCCGCGAGAACCTGTAATAACTCCTTATGCTACCAGCGAATAAGTAAAGAAAAAATAAGTGCTGTAACATAACGTATATAACAATAAATATAAAATAAGTTACAATAATTATACTAAATAGCTCCTTTAAGAAGTTTAAGTAAAGTTAGTTAAATAAACAATTTAATATCTCTTCTGATCAATTTATGTATGTATTTTTTTTCTTTCACTAACGCAATAAATTGAAACCTTACCAATAACAAAAACAAGTTAGAATGACTTTTAATATTGGTTAGACGACCCTACTGGTGTCAAGTGGTCACTGGACTTCATAGACATCAGCAACCACCGTGAGACATTAGTTCGAAGTCTTAGTTCTATATTGCAACGGATGTTCCAACCAACACCGGAACGCATTACTGCTTCGCCGCAAAAATAAACGAGAGGGTGGAGCTTACCCGTATGAGCTCACAAGAGGGTGTCTACCACCAGTAATGATTGAGCCTGCAGTCATATTTTGGGTTATCACTGAGTCTCCATCAAAACCATTTCAATATACACAGCAACCTTAATATAACGAACCTCAATATAACGACGGCCCCGATTTAACAAATTCTTTGTTATCCTCTTGAATTATCCATAAGAGTCAATGTAAAATATATCTTTACATTGCGAAGATTTCTTGCGAACAACTTCTTTATAACAAATTTTCAAAAAAAATATATGTAAATACATCTAATTCTAACGAATTTTGTCAACCCAAAACCTTTATCAATATGACCCTTAATCCTTAATTGACAGGCTTGAGAAAAATTGTTACCTACCTAATTGTTTTTAAATAGAAAAATATTACAGTAATTTGATAAAAATGTGTTATCATTTATTAGTAGAAGTTGTTCGCTATAACAAGATTAGTACGTAATGTTTAGGTAAATAAACCTATTTTTTTACCTTGTTATAACAAATGGTAGACCAACCTAGCCTTAATGAAAACCGGTTGTGACGTGACGGTCCGGTCCAATGTAACGTAAGGTATGAGATTCCTCAAATTCGGTAAATGGCAGTGAAAGTTTCTTCGACGATTTTCTAGAAAGATTTCTTTGAAAACTGTGAACTGTTGAGTAGTGATATGGACTCGCGCGTACTTATCTTAGAAAAAGAGGGTACCGTAGACTGGTGTCACAAATTCGCACACAATTCAGTTAAGCCAATGTGCTTACATAATAATACGTATTACTATGTAACTAGGTATAATTCGGAATAGAAACCAACTATCATATAGTAATTCAATCTTCTAAGATTAGATACGTCGTTCATCATTCTCGTGTGAAGTGTTCACGCGTATGCGTATCTCATTTTCTGATAATTTCTTCTAGTTATTAGTATCGCATTAGAAAAATTGCCATTTATAACAATAATTTTATCCTCCTCCGTCCGTATGCAATATTTTTCAGTAACAAATAATTAATATTATGTACATCTAAAATGAAATAGATTTTACAAACCCGTTATTTTCTTTTTCAGGTAGCATTTCATATCTTGCTCAACCTTTTGGGGCTCTGCTATCTGGTCCACTTGTAGACTACTTTGGAAGGAAAAAAGCAAACTTTTTGGTTAATATACCTCATTTAATAGCTTGGATCTTGATGTATTTTGCCTGGAATGTACCGATTTTATTTATAGCAAATACTCTGTTAGGGATTGGAACCGGGATAATGGAAGCGCCAATAAATTCTTATGTTGGGGAAATTAGGTAAGCAATCCAATAGCCATTTGAAATTATAATTATACATAAAAAAGTATAAGTAACCGAAATAAATGAAAATTACCGTTGGGCCTATTCTGAGAAAAGGCTTATATGATATAGTGAGTCCGACTTTAGTTTGCAAATTGTGAAGTTGCTTTGTTAATATAATTCAGCGTGCTTAGTGCGAGTTTTGTAACGTACTCGATAGCGTAAAAGTTTACTCAAATTTGTATGGAGATGGAACGTTTGCCGCTAGGGGCGCTGTTCCAACAGAATACAAATTTGAGTTAACTTTTACGCTATCGAGAACGTTAACAAACTCGCACTAAGCACACTGAACACATGTTGAGCACCTGTTTTTTTTTTTGTGGCTATTTGTGGAATTTAATCATCGGCATAGCCGCATTGTTCGATATGAATACACCTGGGGTCTTGACCTTTAGGCCATAGATATATCACCTTATTTCCGCTCTATAATTTAACCCAAAAGGATAGTTTAGACCTCATCTTGCTTAGTTCTACTTACATATTGCTATTATATGTAGTAATGATACTTTAGATATTGAGTGTTCCACCTCATATCTTAGATTCTTTAAAAACATATGATCAAAAACTTTTGAAGATATGTCTTATTTAAAGTATTGTTACGCGCTAGGGCTGGGGATAAATTAAAATTTCCACCGAAACGTTAATTAAAACTTAATTTAATTATTAAGATTCATCAGGTACATGTATCGCAATTCACTTCTTTCGCTTCATCGCTTCGGGTGATCCATTGGCTATTTTGCTTTTAATAAAACTGATTACTAACTTCTTTGTCGACAGCACATTTTCGATTGTATTAGTCGTTTCCATATTCATTTTCGCTATATGACAACAGATGGCGTTACTTGTAGCACCATAACACTTCTCGAACACTCCAGATAGTACTAGTTGTTTTGATATCCGCTTCTGCTAAGTATTTGATGACAGATCTCGTAGACCTAACTTGTACCCATATTATTTTATTATATTATTGTTCCTCTACTCGATTTCTAGGCTCGGTTTACTGAGCTCCCGCCCCGAGACCCTCAGGGAAAGGGTGGCTCAGTTTCCCCTCCTACGAAGACCGTATCCCCCAAGACTTTCGTGATGATGGTGACCGTGTGTATGGCAGCTTGTTTCTGCATGATGTGCGGGTTGATGTTTGTATCTAATTTATCTATGTATTTCTGTAGGCTTTTGGCTATTACTCCGGTTGCTCCTATTACTATTGGTACTATTTCTGTGTGTGTTTTCCATAATCTGGTTATTTCGGTTTTGAATGCATGGTATTTACTTAACTTTTCTATTTCTTTTTATTATTATGTTATTATTATCATTTATTTATATTTATTTAAAATCTTATTAGTTACATAATATTTTTTTAAAAAGATATTAAAAATAAAAATTTAAAAAAACACTATATAAAAATAGATTGTCGCTGATGGCGGTGTCTACGACACAAGCCACCTGGTTAAGACTCCAGAGTGAGAAACCTCCTCACAATGCGTGCAGTATCGAGGATAACTGCTTTCTGTATTAGGCCCTTAACCCAGCTGGATAACGAAAGTTTCTTAACATGTTGATCGAAACTTTTCGCCATCAAGCCGTGTACGACACAAATATTGGAACAATGATGGTTGCATCAACATGCCACATGGCGGTAGTCTCGTGGGCCAGGTCTAAATATTTTATTAATTTGTCCTTTTCTGCCTTCACGAGGTTCTCGTCATGAGGAATGGTGACATCAACCAACACTGCTCGACGCGCAGATCGATCTATTATCACAATATCAGGTTTATTGGCTACAATATACTTATCCGTGATAATAGATCGGTCCCAGTAGAGCGTAACATGACCATTATCAAGAACTGGCTGAAGTTGGTATTGGTAATAAGGTACAGCAGAATCAAGAAAACCATATTATTATTATTATGTTGTTTATTTCTCCAATTTAAAGTCTAAATGCAAAGTGCTCAGCTAATTAAAATAGTTATCATTTTTATAATACAAAATCCAATATTTTTTTTATTGTTTCGTGAAATTTCATCACAAATGATATCAAAACTATTCAGGTCAATGTCAATAAAATATCTTCGTATTATTATATTTACCTGATTTCTTATCTTGAACTGTCGAAACTACAAGTGCTATACATTAAAATACTATACGTAAACTACTTTTGCACTTGTTGATTTATCAATTTAATGTTGTATTCCAAAAATGATTTAATCGGTATGCAGAAAAAAATTACTTAAAACGGCTCTTATCAACATTTATTTTCCTTTGGAATCTAAATTTTATTGAATATCAAATATTTTTATATCAGCTTAGCCAAGCTCTACAAATTAGAGCCCCACCATAAAATATCCGTCTATTATTCAATTTAGATATTTTCACATACATAAGTTAGGTAAGAAGAAACTAAAAGACAATATTGAAATGAATAAATGATTATTTAACAGTCGAATTCACAATCCGCACTATTTAAATTACTAGATTGGCAGACATGATCTCGGAATTCCACGACCTACCTTTTTTTTTTAACGCTGGGGAATCCATTTACGACTAATCCCCATCGAGCTACACCACACCGGCTACACCAGACCTACGGTAGCGCAGTGCGCGCCGAAAATCCGCCTTCTCCGGTACCCGTCCAGATGATAAGACGACATTTCATCTCCGGGAAAATCCCGAAGGACGTCATTTCGGGAGATACACCGTGGGCGGCGCACATGAGCCACCTTGCACTGCCCCACCACCGGACCTACCTACCTTACATTACGGCTCTATCACCCTTTAAACTGGAATTTCAAATAGCTTCGCGACAAAAATATGCAGGATTGTGTTACTACTAGGGATATTCTCTGTCAAATAGCGACATCAATAGCAAAAAGGTTTTACATCTAACATTAAGGAAAAAATATATTATGTTATACATTATTTTAACCGACTTCAAAAAAGGAGGAGGTTCTCAGTTTGACTTTTTTTTATAAATAATAGTTCCTCAAATTTTTTCTAGATTCTAGAAATCTTTTCCCAGATTCGGATTATTCTTTTTTTATTTAAAATCTGATGCTTCTAATGTTTTTCCATTTCAATATTATCAAGATCATTTTGAGTTATCCGTAATAATTCATATAATAATATGGGTGTATGTATGTATAATTATTATACATATTATACTATTATACTAATTATCATATTATATAGTTTATTTTATTGAAGTCGGTTTTCTTTTTTGTTGTTCTGTATCATTAATTAATCATTTGTCAGTTTAACCATCATCATGTTAATCATAATTAATTAATCATAATCGTACTAATTAATTTTGTATTTAGTTTCTGAATAAAAAAAACGATACAACTATGACATAATCTTTTTAAACAACTATATCCATTAATACCCAAAAATCTTCATTTAAAATTTTCAGTGAGCCTACGATGCGTGGAGCCCTATGCACCGTCACCCAAATATTCACGTCCATAGGAATATTGGTGATGTATTTTCTGGGAACAATAGTAGATTGGCGACAAGCGGCAATCATATGTCTAGGAGTACCACTTCTTTCCATGCTATTAGTTTTACTTGTAAGTATTATACATATTTATTAATTGTTATTTAAATATGATCTTGCGATTTCTATTTGTGATTCAAATATAGAACATAATATGTTCAAGAGACGGAATACTACTGTTAAAATAAATAAACCTTTTTTTTCTGTTTCTTTTGACCAAATCAAGGTAACAATAAAGTAAACTACAACATTGCTAATAAAGATACTGTAGTATGCAAATAATTCTCTAAATCTTAGTCTCGAATACAGTAACAATAAAAGTTTAATAGTCTTCTTAAGGATTACGGTTTATGACAATGATGTACATTTTTGGAAGACATTATAAATCGCCTTAAATATGCGTAGAGATACAAAAGTGCCATCCAATGATAATTTTCATTTTAAAGAATAATATGAATAGGTGAATCTTTTTGGTAGTCGAAAAACTAAAATTTTGTGAATGTTTTAATAATAAAGTGGAAATAATAGAACCAAAAACGGATTCAATAAAAGAAACAAACAAATGATGAAATATAAAAGGCCCACTATAAATTGGACACATAATCCAATGAAGGTGGGTTAAAGTAGGTAAAGCAAGCAGCCGGTTGTAAAACTCATGCCAAATTCCTATGATGCATGATAAAGAGGATATGTTGCGTCGACCCTACATAATGGGGATTAAGGGAAAGAAGAAGACATATAATTGAAATGCTGACTTGATTCACAATATTGCGTATTAACGATACTAGTTTAATTTTTAAGGTACCCGAAACTCCTGTCTGGCTACTGTTCAAAGGGAGAGAAAAAGAAGCATTAAAATCTTTGTGCTACCTTCGAGGGTGGACAACTGTTGACAATGTAAAGGACGAATATGATAAATTAGCAGTTTACGCGAAGAGTTTGCAAAACTGCGAAATCTGTCTAGCCACTGATGACGTTAAAAATGAGCAATGTGACCACGTTCGAATGAATCCAATAAAAAGGTATGCACCTAAAATATAAAATCTTCCAAAGAAAACATATTGTATTTAAAACGCCAAACTAAATACACATTCTCAATATTTTTGTAGAAATTTCAACCTGTTTGCACATATTTTTTTTATTGCTTAGATTGCTGTACGTGCTCACAGTCCACCTGGTGTTAAGTGGTTACTGGAGCCCATAGACATCTACGACGTAAATGCGCCACCCACCTTGAGATATAAGTTCTAAGGTCTCAGTATAGTTACAACGGCTGCCCCACCCTTCAAACCGAAATGCATTACTGCTTCACGGCAGAAATAGGCGGGGTGGTGATACTTACCCGTGCGGACTCACAAGAGGTCCTACCACCAGTAAACCAGTTTAATATTGACTTTATTTTTAGATACATCTTAAAAATCAAATGCGTAATGTTTTGCAAAGAGACTCTAAGGCCATTAACATTGGTAATTCTATATTTTATGTTCTACACTATGAGTGGACTCATACCTATTAGACCTAACATGGTCAATGTATGTGGAGCCTTCGGGATGGTAGACAATGGAAAGAAGATAGTGGTAAGATATTACATACAAGTTAAAAAGTTATTTCATTTAATATATAGAGGTCGGAATATTTCAAGGTTTTATTACTATTTCGACAAAATGCAACATCACTTCCTCCTATTGAAGATTTGAAGATTTTGACGTAACACTTAACCCATAGCATCGACCCGTTGAGTTTCTAGCTGGAATGTTTTAGCGGGTTGCGAACCCCATGTGGTGTTAAGATGAAAGCAGCAATTCTTGAGCTGCTAGGCTTTTTTCGGAGGCGCTCAGGCATTTGTTAGGAAACCTTCTCCTCCACTAGCTTAGTTCTTGAATTTACCTACCGGTCCAGGCTAAGTGGCAAAATTCCGGACTAATCGCAATCCTTTCATACCAGAAAAACTATTAAATTAAATCTGTTTTACCCACAGCTAATGATCGGTGTTATAACTGTAATCATGGGCGTCATAGTCATCGGTATCATCAAGATGACCGGTAAACGAAAATTGATTATACTAGCGCTTCTCGGCACTGGTCTTTCCAGCACTGGACTAAGTATATACGCAAGATTACACGTACCTGATTCGGTGTCTTCATACGATCCTGCCACATTCCCAATAGAAAAAAGCTACGTACCTCAGGCGCTATTGTATTCCTTGGCGGTGTTTACTGGACTCTGTATACCTTGGGTGCTGCTTGGAGAAATGTTCCCTTTTAAGTACGTTAATCACCTGATATTTTATATAAATTTAATTCTGGATTTTGTTTTACTTTTTTCAAATCATAAAATAAACGAGCAAATAAGTAGGAATGTTTTAGTAAAAATTATGATAATTACATATTTTCTCACTCCTGCTAGAGAAAGAATGAAGTCGTCGTGGCCTAAAAGATAAGACGTCCGGTGCATTCGTGTTGAGCGATGTACCTGTGTTCGAATCCCAGGCGGGTACCAATTTTTCTAATGAATTACGTACTCAACAAATGTTCACGATTGACTTCCACGGTGAAGGAATAACATCGTGTAATAAAAGTGAAACCCGCAAAATTATAATTTGCGTAATTACTGGTGGTAGGACCTCTTGTGAATCCGCGCGGGTAGATACCACCGCCCTGCCTATTTCTGCCGTGAAGCAGTAATGCGTTTCGGTTTGAAGGGTGGGGCAGCCGTTGTAACTATACTGAGATCTTAGAACTTATATCTCAAGGTGGGGGGCGCATTTACGTTGTAGATGTCCATGGGCTCCAGTAACCACTTAACACCAGGTGGGCTGTGAGCTCGTCCACACCTCTAAGATATAAAAAAAGACTATTTTTATCTGGTCGTACAAGTAAATAGTACTATCCTACCTAATTCTGCCTCGAATGCATGCTCGAAGGCATGCTCGTTGCTATATGTATTAACTCCGTTAGCCTCTTGGCACCAGATGTTTATTTACTTATGTAATATGAAATGATAAATAAAAAAATACGCTTTTATAGAAAATCCAACTAAAAAATAAAATATAAATTTGAATTAAAAATAGTGTAAGGAAATATGATTTTATGGTAAAAAAGCATGGTCACATTTCCTTTCATAAGTAAACAATCGAAAGAAAGATATAAACTTATACATTCCAGGAGTCGTGCCTCAGCTCAAGGAATCGCTGCTGCTTGGAGTTACGTGGTGACGTTCTTGGGATCAAAAACATTAATCGATTTGGAGAATTCGCTTAAGCTGTGGGGAACTTTTGCCGTTTACGCAGTTTTCGCATTTGTTGGCACAATATATTTATATTTCTTCATGCCTGAAACTGAAGGGAAGACGCTTCAAGACATCGAAGATTATTATAAAGGAGATTTGAGAATATTCGCGAACGATCCTTTTATAAATTACTTTAAGAGATTCAAGAGAAAACAGTCTGTCTCTTAGACCTGCATTTATATACTTAGTCTAACATATTATTTAACTTAATCGTATTATAGTATAATAAAAAGTTTTAATAAGCCTTTTTGTTTACTCTATCGAATATTCACTGCATCAAATTATAATGTGTTTAAGGCAAACCTATTTCTAAGACAAACCTATTTCACCGAACATGGAGTGCTTTATAACTTTTTTGAAATATATATTTCAATGTGAGAAAAAGACGCTTTAAATTAAAATTGTGAATTCTTCTTCTTTACTATATCGTATAACGAAAGCGCATCCTTATTTTGACAAACTTTGTAAGATCACTTTTCATGGCGATTAAATCGGCAATGTACCTCCCAAAAATATTTGAAGTTGACCTATCTTCTATTCCATTTCCTAATTTTAATTATAAATTATTGGAGAAAATAAAATAGTAAAATTATATCAAAATTAGTATAAAAAGCTTTATTCATATTTAACTACATTGTATTTACATCAAGACGGTAATTTATCTTCAATAGACTATCAATCGTGGTTATTCTGTGGGGTCTTCAATTTTAGCCATAAACAGAGGTAAGCTTAGAGCAGTGTCCCATAATACGGCTAAAAAGGGTCTGTTCGCTTTAAAGACTACTGCAGGATCATCGAAAGACAACGCTACCACACCAAAAGATGTTGCAGCCGCTGCAGAACCCCCCTTTTCATCAATGGACAGTACTGCCGAATGCACAGCGGACGAAACTTGCGGAGAAAACTCTCTAAAGGTTCCTAAGCCGAATAGCTCTGCGCGATTACTAAACATGTTTGATATTCCCATCTGAAAATATAAAAAAACACGTCCATATAAATGTGAATATACGTGAAAAGATGGTGGTAGCTTTTATTACTAATCGAACCCGTAAAAATGATTATCTTTATAATTACTGATGGAGCTCGCATGAGTAGTTTGCGTTTTTCCGCCGTGAAACAGCCGTTGTACTATAAATCTGATACTTTGATCTCGAGTTTCATTAGAGTATGATCTTTTTTTATTTATTGCTTAGATGGGTGGACGAGCTCACAGCCCACCTGGTGTTAAGTGGTTACTGGAGCCCATAGACATCTACAACGTAAATGCGCCACCCATCTTGAGACATAAGTTCTAAAGTCTCAAGTATAGTTACAACGGCTGCCCAACCTTTCAAGCCGAAACGCATTACTGCTTCACGGCAGAAATAGGCAGGGTGGTGGTACCCCACCCGCGGGGACTCACAAGGGGTCCTACCACCAGTAATTACGCAAATTATAATTTTGCGGGTTTGATTTTTATTACACGATGTTATTCCTTCACCGTGGAAGTCAATCGTGAACATTTGTCGAGTACCTATGTCGTTAGAAAAATTGGTACCCGCCCGAGATTCTAACACCGTTGCATCGCTCAACACGAATGCGCCGGACGTCTTATCCATTAGGCCACGTCGACTTCATTTACGTTGTTGATGTCTACGGGCTCCGACAATCATTTAAGACCAGGTGGGCCTCGTCACCACCAGGACCTCGTCTACCTGTTTAAGTATTAAAAATGAGAAATTGATGTAATAGGACAGACGTTGATATTCTTACAGATTGTAATATAATTATGTTAGGACATTCAAAAACAAATCCGGTAGTGCTTGATTCTCAATACCTCAAGGTAGGCGCCAGTATTCACGTTGTGATGTCTATACATTACCGGAAACACATATTTAGATGATTCATATACTCGCTTACCCGGCAAGTGCATAAAAAATTCATTTTTACTATAGTCAAATTTAAAAATAATTTCACACAGTTAATATAATATGAACTATTTTTAGTTTAGACTTTAAAACTACTTTTAGTACTACTTAAACCTATTATCGAGTTTGAAGTTCATCTTTCTATTGGTGACCGACGACTAAAATGTTGTACTCTTCGACATTTGAATATTTTACTATATAGTAAATTCATTTAAAAAACCAATAGTTATTGCCATTTATTTGCCTTTCTTTTTACAAAGAAAGCATTATCGGTATCTTGAAGTCTGGCTGGCTTGTTTATCCGACTTGGGTTTTCATTTTTATAATAAGAGGATTTCAGATGTTGAATAGGACCCTTTCATGAAAAATAAAACAATCAAAGAAAATTTAATTGAATGAATTGAAAATTAGGCAGCGGCTTGGCTCTGCCCCTGGCATTGCTGACGTCCATGAGCGACGGTGACCACTTACCATCAGGTGGGCCGTATGCTCGTCTGCCTACAAAGGCAATAAAAAAAAATAAAAATAAAAATTGAAAGAAAATTCGGAATGAAAATAAAATACGCGAAACCAACCCGTAAAGATAGCATCAACGAATACGTCTCACGAATATCGAAGCTAGTACCAAAAAAAAACGCATTGCTTAAATAAAGTTTTACAACAAATAATGATCAACTCACCCTATTGAATACCGGCACTAAATCAGTATCCCCCTTTACTGTAAATTTAGGCAATTCCAGTTCAACGTCCATTGCTGTGAAGTTTTGGTAAGCGATAAGTTGTTCCACTGTTAATCTAGAAATCAGTGTGTCGATGTCAGACTGTTCATGCGGTAAAACAACCAAAAGCGAATATTGGTCTTTCTGAAATTTCAAATAGACATAATAAATAAGTCAATAAATAAATAAAGTAGCCTTCGTGGGAAGACTGGCAGATGCGAAACATTGATATTATGTATTTTGTAAGCATAAAACGATAGTTTACGAGAGGAAATTAATGTGGCATAATGAAAAAAACTTCAGAGGTGTCAAGGGACACCCGGATGGAACGAAGTTCCTTTCGATTAATTAGTGAAGGAATTGTAATTTTTTTTTAAGTTATAATAATAAATTACGGCATTATGAAGAAGAAAAAAACAATACTATGAACTAAATTACTATTGTTGAAACGCTATCTCGAGAAACTGTACTCATTACGCGGACCAATCGGATACGAGCAATGTCACGCGATAAGCGCCTACACATTGATTGGTCAGAATGACGGATCTAAAAAGTGTCGTGACAACTTTTCGTAAGAATTTTTTCCGTCTAGCCCCCTTTCACAACGCGCGATAAGGAACTTCGTTCCAAAATAAAATTAAAATATTAAGAAACAGCCGCTTGCGCATGGCGACGCGTCGCCACACCGTGCACACTACTATGTAGTACTACTACTACTACTATGTAGTACTACATATGTAGCAGGGTTCAGTGTGAGTAGTAGAAGTGAGTAAAATTATATACTATCATATAGCGCGGCGACACGTCACCACACCAAAATTCAGTATTACGTGCGTAAACTAAACTAAAACCTCGTCTAAGAACACATATGAGTATGTCCACTGATTGTTCAACACGCACTATACACGAAAAATACAAAAATTAACTTAGGATTTTTATGATGAATGATGACCACTTGAGCACAGTTGGCCATTACCGCAGATAGATAGATTCCTATCAGCCAATATTCGTGTGCTCCGCTTTAGAAAATTTCTATACAATATTCAATGTAGATCGAGAAATAAGATCTACATAGTTTTATAATTAAAATAATTAATTCTCATTGTGGTTCCTATGGGTCCCGAAAACCGCTTATTATCTAGTGTGCGGCGAGCGATTCTGTGCCACTACATAAAATACATAATTATGAATATAACACAATAAATTATCCAAAAAAAATTATTACTTCGAACGGCAAGGAGACAACTTTCGCGTTGGTGATGGGATCCAAGCCCGTTCTGAAGTAGCGTCTCGTTCTCATGAATGGTGCCGTTTTCTGTATTCCACCCTTTAAAAGGAATGGTTGCGGTACAGTTGATTCGGTTCTGAACGGGATCTGCCATAATCCTTTAAAGTAAACCACGTTGACGAGAACCAGCTGCGAGCTCTGGCTAATGGCATCTGAAAACATGGGAAAGCAAATAATTTTACGAATATTTGTATATTCATCATTTCTCTATAATATTAAAAGCGTTTGTGCCTTCGTTTCTTAGGTCATATTTGTGCGCTCACACGTTCCTTCCTAACCCAGTTTAACTGGCAGTATGCAACTCCGTTCAATAAATAGGTGTACTTTACGTATTTAGAGACATTCACACTGCAACGTGGAAAATAAGAGCTATAGTCTATAACGGATGGCAATCTATAGTAATATACGTAGTCTGGCCATAAATACTGTTTGTTACAATTAAAAATAAACAAAATATTACATTTGAATTTGGAATCTGTCATTTTTATATGATTGATCATTGGGTTTTCTCATTTTGGCACTAATATATTGTACAATATTTTGCGATATTAAAATGGAGTGGGATGATAAAGAGAACCGAATCGCTGTGATTGTATTACATACACAAAGTATGGAGGTATGGAGCCAAATGCAATTTTTAAAACTATCCATACGCTTGGTATTCGTAAAATGTTTATGTACCTGGCTTTTAATAGGTGCAATGAGACCTCCTCTGCTTGTGACAGAAAAAGATCTGGCCGTCCACGTAGTGTTCGTACGAAAAAGGTTGTCAAAGCAGTAAGGGAAAGAATTCGAAGAAATCCTGTCCGAAAGCAAAAGATTTTATCTCGGGAGATGAAGATAGCACCTACTAGATTTAGTTTACGGATGAGAATTTTTTTACAATTGAGCAACATTTTAACAAACAAAATGACCGTATTTATGCTCAAAGCTCTAAGGAAGCTTCCCAATTAGTCGAGAGAGTGCAACGTGGACACTATCCGACTTCAGTGATGGTTTGGAGGGTATTAGCTATGAAGGAGTGACTAAGCCATACGTTTGTGAAAAAGGTATCAAAATATCGGCACAAGTGTATCAAGATACCATTCTTGAGAAGGTAGTGAAGCCCCTTAACAACATCATGTTCAATAATCAAGAATGGTCCTTCCAGCATGACTCGGCGCCAGGTCATAAAGCTTGGTCTACGCAGTCTTGGTTGGAAACGAACGTTTCGGACTTTATCAGAGCTGAAGACTGGCCGTCGTCTAGTCCCGATCTTAATCCGTTGGATTATGATTTATGGTCAGTTTTAGAGAGTACGGCTTGCTCTAAGCGCCATGATAATTTGGAGTCCCTAAGCAATCCGTATGATTGGCAGTGAAAAAATTTCCCATGGAAAGAGTACGTGCTTCTATTGATAACTGGCCTCAACGTTTAAAGGACTGTATTGCAGCGAATGGAGACCACTTCGAATAAGCTTTTTATACTTTAATTTGTTTTATATTTATGTATTAAACTAACACACTGTAAAAGTAATAAATGTTATTTGCAATACAATTTTTTTTTCCTTTGTAACAGTATTTATGGCCAGACTAAGTACATACAATAAACAGTAACAGTAACGGTTTTTTTTTTCGTTTCCTTACCTTGTGATAATAAATTTTCTATTTTACCATTCGTCATTGCGCCTACCCAGTTATTGATCCTCTGTATGGCCACATCGGGTCTTCCAAAATTCATGAGCGTTACGTCACTTCCGAAATCGCTTTTTGCAATTCTCTCGAAATCACGATTGAGGTTGAACGTTTCGGCCACAAATATGTTATTCAACGTTTTAAGTATATTCTGAGATTGACGTTTCTGTAAAACAAATTAATAAAAAATTACGTAAACATATGATATGTTACGGAGTACAAAAACTGGTTTTTTTTTTGCTTAGATAGGTGGACGAACTGGGCTGTGTCACCTGGTGTTAAGTGGTTACTGGAGCCCATAGACATCTACAAAGTAAATGCCACCACCCACCTTGAGATATAAGTTCTGAGGTCTCAAGTATAGTTACAACGGCTGCCCCACCCTTCAAACCGAAAGGCATTACTGTTTCACGGCAGAAATAGGCAGGGCGGTGGTCTAAAACTAAAACAATACCCATAAATAGCAGATGGAACCGACAATTAACTGAAGGAAATTACAGATTTCCAACCTAATCGGTCAACTTGTTTTTCTTCTTCGTCGTTTTCTCATTACCGAGGATCGCAATCACACGTATTTAAGTATTTGCATGAAAGTCGGTCCGCTGCGAGGTAAACCGCCTGTTGGATGCTGCCCCTAACTGTCCTCCTTATAGTATCCGACCATTCTCTTGGTTCCCTACCTTTGGCTAGCCGCCACTTAACCAAGAATGAGAAGCTTATGACTATGCCTTAGAGACTGCAAGATCTTTTTTTTGGATGTCTCAAAGTCAATGAAAATGGTGTTCAAAAATACATACACACGTTAATACACATTCAAACGTTATATACAAACAAAAATACACACATACGAAGCTAATAAAAGCGTGTCAAAAGAGATAATAACCTTGAACAACTCCTATTTTGTTACTCCCTTTGCCCATATTAACAATATTCTCACTTGCTATTCCTATCTAACTCATAGGGGGAAAAGGGTTAAAATGGAACTCACTTGTACGTTTTCCATGACATTCCTAAATACCTCCGAAGTCTTTAATGGTGCTAGTTGCAAAGCTGCACTGATCTGATCCAAAGTGGATCCTGTAGCGCCTTGTTGAAGAAGAGCCAATAATGTCGTGATGGAGAATGGAGATACCACCATGTTACCTGGCTGACTGCTTGTTATTTGCTGAAAATAGCAATTAGCAATAGTGATTATAAAGTAATTCATAAATTACTTGGAAATAGCTTTAAGACTAACCATTTCTACTATTTAGTGGATCGTATTAAAATAAAAAGCCCATGGGCCTACGAGTAAGAAGTCCAATGTACTCCGGGATTTTACTACTAATTTACCGGGATTAAATTGAACAAGTAATTTTTAGGGCCACATTTACAGTACCATTTATTCAGGAACGTCCCGAAATGATGATGTACTGTTATTTGTGTGCTAAATGCAGTAAAAATATAATTTTAGAGTTTTTAATAATATCAACTGATATCACGATCTTGGCCATTTTTAACACCAAGTTATACTCGCACGGGTTCGATTAATGAAACGATCATTTTTAGAATTTCGACCTCTTATCTCAATGTAGGTGGTGCCATACCTGTTATGGCGTCTATCGACTCCATTAATCGATAAATTAAGAACGGCCATCTTTCTTTTTAAAATTCAAAATCATCTAATTGTATCCAATCGTATGAACTTTAATTTGCCCTGCTCTAACTTTGATTTAAACAAAAAGATGTTTACCTTAAATATATTTATTCCAAAATGTGTTATAGCATAATCGACACTATCGATCTCTGGTCTTGTTGCTTGCGCTTGAAAAAACGTATCTGTCATCTTTTTAGCTGGTGTGCCGGACTTTTGAGGAACGATTTTGGTGGTTTCTTGGTTATAAGTTTGTATTGATGGTTGAATTATAACATTGTTTGCATAAGGACTATATTGCGGAGCTCCGAAATTGGGGTTAATAATCGGTCGTTTTGTTCCAATCGTCAATCCATTTAAATTAGATAATTCCTTTTGGATATTAATTGAGCCACTAGGTCGGTTGTCGTCAAAATAAATTTGATCTGAATTGATTGTGGGATCGTATTTGGGATACTGATTTTGTGTCCGGAAGCTGCTTTGTGAATCCGCGCTTAACACGAAACAGCATACAGTGAGACCTGAAATTTTCAACATGTTGAAAAACCTTATTAAAGCCCACAAAACACCCCGAATAATCAAAAGTTGATTCAAAGTAAATGTAATACGTTCCAAAAGCTAATTAATAGCTTTTGAAATAAATTTTGTGACTCTTGTTGGTGTGCATATTTGCTTTAGTAAAATAGCTATTCGCTACTGTAGTTACGCTGTAGTTAAGTCGTGATCCTCCTTGCGTCGATAATCTTCAATGCTGAAGGTCGTGACCTCATGAGATTTTCTTGGGAAAATACACATGGTGGGATTCCGCGTTTTTTTACGGCAGTGCTTTTGGAAGAAATTTATTTCTTCGAAGTGTTAAGTCATGATATAGACCATAAATGTAGGATAAAAAAATTAATACAGTTATCAGTAGCTGGAACCCTAAAACTGCCTTTAAATCATGGTTTATTACTATTCTGAATACTGCATAGTACCTATTCCTTCTTTATAATAAACACAGAAAAACAAGAAGTACCAAATATCGACAGATAATAATTATACATTCAAAGAAGACGAGAAAAACCTAAACACTAAAGTATCAAAAACAGTCAAAATAGAAAGAGTTAACTGTGGCGCATCATAAAATCCGGAGAGACCGCCTCCGTCACAAATGAACTTCTATATTAATTGCGAAAAAGGTACCGCATGTGAAAAAGTTTCATTCATTACTAATAAATTACGAGATTGTTAACTAAAAATTGTACAAGAATACTAAAGGAAATATTGAAGTTACAACAGGGCACAATGCTTGCTGCTCCGATCTCACTAATTGCACGCATCCAATAGAATCCAATAGAGAAAAAGCAAGAGAGAGAATTAAAGAAGAAGATTGAGAATTTGGAATGGAAAGGGCTTTTTTTCTGTGCGTGACGACAATTACAAGTCAACTACTACCGTAAACTGCGCTACGAAATTTCGCTCCAAAAGACGTTTTGAGAAAATCGCGTTACTCTACACTCATTGTAAGATAATACAAATCAGCTGATGCGTGGAGTCATCGACCTCGTAAAACGCGGGAAACGTTCGTCAATTGCATACGCTTTCCATTACTGTTTTATGAAATATGAACTTCCTAAAATAACAAGTTTTTTTTTTATAGCTTAGATGGGTGGGCGCGTTCACAGCCCACCTGGTGTTAAGTGATTACTGGAGCCCATTGACATCTACAACGTAAATGCGCCACCCACGGTGAGATATAAGTTCTAAGGTCTCAGTATAGTTACAACGGCTGCCCCACCCTTCAAACCGAAACGCATTACTGCTTCATGACAGAAATAGGCAGGGTGGTGGTACCTACCCGTGCGAACAAGAGGTCCTACCACCAATAATTACACAAATTATAATTTTGCAGATTTGATTTTTTTTTAATTGAAACCAAAACTAAGATTATAATTAATTGTTTTTATTGTGTTCATTGACTTTTTTATGTTTTACTAATTGGTTTGGCAACCTTAATCAAAACTACTAACTCTATGTCCTTCATTTTTTTTAAGTAAAAAACTCACATTCAGTGCAAACACCCAATGACTTTTACACATTTTGCATAACAAATTGACGCAAAACTCACATGTAGCCACAAAAGAATTAAAAATACTCACTAATAAACACTTTCATGATGAAATTTACACTTGTTTTATTCACACTGGTGTTTTTTTTTTCTTTTGCTTCTTCAAATTTCACTTTAAATTCTACAAAATCAATATAAATATCAAGTTGACATCTGAAGTAACACGTTTTAACATCACCTAGTATGTCGGACGAATGACTCAAGCCATCTCAAGCAATTTGCCAGTCTGAGAGGAAAAAGATAATACTATAGGCTCACAAACAGCACCGTAGTACAACCAAATTGAAGCTTTTTGTCTGGCACATATGACTCATTTTAGTGTGAAGAGTTTGTTTCAACTATTTCGAATCGTAAATAGCATTGGTTTTTCCTATGCCACCACGGGAACTGGTTTACTTCATTTTACTCAATGATTGAGTAAAAATTAGGATGCACTTCCACGAGAGACAATAGCATAAGATTTTATAAGTCTTTCACGCAAAACAATATATTAAAAAAAGTCCATAAATGGCGGAAATTGAATTTGAGGGTGGGCAAGTGTTTTCTTATACCCTATATTTCTTAAACTTAATACCGTATATCCGGTTTGTTGTTAATGTCAATATTTATTGCTATGATATTAATATTACGGTTTTACATAACAATAAAACCGATATTATGTGCCGAGAAGGAAAACATACAGCATTGTATTATGAAGAAGCAGTGTGTACTTAGCTTAGATTCCTTGTCTATGTCCAACCATAGACCGTCAATTTAGTTCCATCTTTAGCCGCTAGGTGCTGCCAGCAAGTATAAAGGGAGCGCAGCCATCTTTGATCTTCNCTTGCGACTTCACAGTACGAAAGTACACAACGCTATGAAGATCAAAGATGGCTGCGCTCCCTTTATACTTGCTGGCAGCACCTAGCGGCTAAAGATGGAACTAAATTGACGGTCTATGGTTGGACATAGACAAGGAATCTAAGCTAAGTACACACTGCTTCTTCATAATACAATGCTGTATGTTTTCCAAAGGCACATCAATATATTAATTTTTAAAATGAATTAAATTAATATCATATCAAATGTCTCTTGATAACAACTGTAGCGTTCACGGAGATCAATCGAGCTGTAAACAAACCAGATCGTACAGTTCAAATGATTATGTTTAATTCATTAAAATATTATAAAATTTACATTTTATTTTTATTGCTTACATGTATCCTATCTTGTTATACAGAATACAACAAAGCGAAGATTGCTCTGCCTTAATCTAAGCGAAAAACAATCTTCGCCATCCAGTTATGCCGACGATTAACCCACCTTGATACTTGATATCTGTGTTTTGATTGTAATTACGCAAATTATATTTTTTGCAGGATTAATTTTTATTATGAGAATAAATATATATAAAAGTCTAAAGCGTGACTGTTATTAGCAATTTTACTAACAAATCAAAGAATTATGTATAATTTTTTTTTTACATTGCACCTTCTTCATATAGTATGAGAGATAAGTAATACATATAAGTCGTCGTGGCCTAAAGGATAAGACGTCCGGTGCATTCGTATCGAGCGATGCAACGGTGTTCGAATCCCTCAGGCGGGTGCCAATTTTTCTAATGAAATACATACTTAACAAGTGTTCATGATTGACTTCTACGGTGAAGGAATAACATCGTGTAATAAAAATCAAACCCGCAAAATTATAATTTATGTAATTACTGGTGGGGTTTTTTTCCTACCTATGCTGATAGCCTTGAGAGGCTATTTCAGCTCTCGCCCTAACATTTGTAGGTGAGCTCGCGGGACTCAACCGGAGAGTTGCTAACACTGACCCTAGCAAGAGCAGTGCTTCGCAGAATCTACCACCGGATCGGAAACGTGACCCAATGAGAAGATCCGGCGAGAAACTCAGTGGGCTGTGTCTATGGGTTAGTGCGCTCGTCGAGCCCTTCGTCGCAAGCGACGGTTTCGACGAGGACGGTGACCGGTTTCGAACAAGTTGCATGAGCTGTTACAATATAACAGTCTCAATCCCTTGGTGGTTAAGTTCGCTGCGTTTACTAATACAAGTAAATAGATTTACTGAATAGTCGGAAGTAGACGCTAATTCCTTCATTTTTCAATGTTTTCACAAGGAATGAAAGTTGTTAATAACAGTTAATCGTAAAAGGTGTATGTATTTGCCACATTTTTATTGCTTAAACGTGTAAACGAGGTCACGGATCACTCATTTACTGGTGGTAGGACCTCTTGTGAGTCCGCACGGGTAGGTACCACCACCCGGCCTATTTCTGCCTTGAAGCAGTAATGCGTTTCGGTTTGAAGGGTGGGGTAGCCGTTGTAACTATATTGAGACCTTAAAACTTACATCTCAAGGTGGGTGGCGCATTTACGTTGTAGATGTCTATGGGCTCCAGTAACCACTTAACACCAGGTGGGCTGTGAGCTCGTTTACCCATTTAAACAATAAATAAAAAAAAAATATATATATAATGATATGCCAGTGCAGTTATGATCTAGGTGACAAGCGGGAAATAACCTATGGAGAATTCTCAAAGATAACCATTTCCCTGCTTTTGTTATCTCTGGGATTTTTTTTTATCGTGATCTAATGGCACGTAGTGGGAGTCATTGTGGCCTATGAGTTAAGAGGTCTGGTGCATTCGTATCGGGCGATGCAACTGTGGCGGTGTTCAAGTGTGTGTAGGAAGGTACCAATTTTTCTAAAGAAATACGTACTTGACAAATGTTCACGAATAACTTCTACGCTGAAGGAATAGCTTGTGAGTCCGCACTGGTAGGTACCACCACCTGGCGTATTTCTACCGTGAAACAGTAATGCGTGTCGGTTTGAAAGATGAGGCCGTTGCATTGTAAAAACTGACACTTGGAATTCATGTCTCAAGATGGACGGACGGCGGCATTAACGTTCTTAATTTCAATGGGCCAGTTACCACTTAACCCTCATGCACCCGCATTAGCAAAATGAAATAAAACAAATGATTAAAAACGCATTTTTATTCTTATTACAATTCCTAGTTATTATACAGGCTAGTTAAAAGTGTTGACTGGTCCTTGCTTATAACTCTAGTATCGATGACAGCGAGATCGTTGGCAGCATTGATGATCCTCTGTGCTATGNTTAATTTCAATGGGCCAGTTACCACTTAACCCTCATGCACCCGCATTAGCAAAATGAAATAAAACAAATGATTAAAAACGCATTTTTATTCTTATTACAATTCCTAGTTATTATACAGGCTAGTTAAAAGTGTTGACTGGTCCTTGCTTATAACTCTAGTATCGATGACAGCGAGATCGTTGGCAGCATTGATGATCCTCTGTGCTATGTAGTTCGGAGGTATACCGTAGTGGTCAAAGGGCGCTTTGTATTCATAGATCGGAGCCGCAATCGTACGTACAGCCCTACGGAGTATGGAGCACACGTAGCTCATGTTCGTAGTTTTCTTCTCTGCTGATTTGTATCTGAAAAATATGAAAAAAGCAAGAAAAAGTTTAGGGCGAAATATGTACAGAAACTGTTGTTATTGATTTCATGAAAATCAATTTTCGTATACACGAGATGTTGTCATAGAAAATAGCTGACGATAATATTTTTATAAATCATAAGGTTCACTGACTGAAATCCAGTCCATCAAGAATCAATTGTATACAGCTTATCTTGAGATGAGGTTATGATGATAGGTAGGATGATGGAATCTGCCCGTATGGAGTTACTGTTATGTTCAACTTATAGTTTCACAAATTAAAGTAGATAATAAAGAAAAGTTTTTCGAAATTGATATTGTCAATGAAGATGAAACATATTTTGATTTTCTAGGAGCAAAAAATTATAGCTTAGATGGGTGGATGAGCTCTCGGCTCACCTGGTGCTAAGTAGTAACCGGAGCCCATAGACATCTACAAGGTAAACCCACCTCGAAACATGAGTTGTAAGGCTCAGTTTCAACAGTACAACGGCTGTTTGTTTCACGCCAGATATAGGCGGGGTGGTAGTACCTACCCGTGTAGACTTCTAAGACGTCCTCCCACCAGTAAAATTTGCGTCACGTCACGCACAGATCAGTTTATGAACTGTCATACGACATGCACCACTCGTTTGGCTATTCTACCCAAAATCTGGACTAAAAAATTACACTTACACAGGACACATCGCCAGTCGCATCATCAGATCCCGTTTTCTTAGCAACAGCAGAGCATTTCTAACTGAAGCTGCCGCTATAGCTGATGGATACTCTTCGCATAGCGCTTTGTCTACCATTAGTCCTGACATGCATAAAAAGGTAGCTGCAACTTCAATCTCTCCGGGATGGTTATTGTCACACCACCATGATAAGTAACTTATGAATTCCTGTGGGACCACTGGTTGGGTTGGAAATTTCTGTAATGGAATCAAATGTTAACCGGGGCGCAGTAGCTGAAACAAGGCAACTGTGACCCTAAAAGTTTTTTTTTAAGCTATTGCATAGATTTTATCGCGGACTTTGAGCGCGGCGACTGAATCAAGAAATTCCGTAACGAAAATAACCTGACACCCCCACTACGCCTACTATGTAGCTCGCGTTCAACACATTCACACGTTGCACTTGTGTAGTGTTTGTGAATAAGCGCGTGGCGTGACGTCACACTGCATGCGCATCATGAAAAGTCTGCCCATCTTTCTCGCGCGCGGTCTAGCTTATGAGTGTGAAGGGGACAGTTGATGCTTTGCTTTTATTAAGTTTAATATAGCGTGGTCTTGTTTTATTATAGTTTTAATATTAAATTATCATTGTCTAATTATAACTAGTCGGGTCATAAGTATTGTCACACAGTAAAAACTTTTCTTTTAGAATGCTGGCCACAAAAAAGTTTATTGAATTCGAATTTCGAAAAGTTCATGTAAATAAAAAATGTATACTTTTAGAATTTTACTTATTTTTTAATATGGAGTGGACGCTTAAAGAAGACCGTGTTGCAGTCATTGCGTTGCATCGTTGCGGTTACGCGCCAATTCAAATTTTTAACATACTGAAAAATTTGAATATAACCAAAAGATTCGTTTATCGTACCATCAAACGATACAATGAAGACTCTAGTGTAGATGACAGGTCAAAAAGTGGTCGCCCTCGGTCTGTTAGGACTCTAGCAGTGATAAAAGCTGTGAAGGCGCGAATTCAAAGAAATCCCAAACGTAAGCAGAAACTGTTGGCCCTTCAGATGGGGTTAAGCAGAACCACGGTGAAAAGGGTATTAAATGAAGACTTAGGGCTTCGGGCATATCGAAGAAAAACAGGACATCGTTTGAATGCTCGTCTAATGGACCTGAGACTGAAGAGATGCCGCGCTTTGTTGAAGCGGTACGCGGGAAAAAAATATCGGGAAATTCTTTTTTCGGATGAAAAAATTTTTACCGTAGAAGAGAGCTACAACAAACAAAATGATAAGGTGTACGCACACAGTAGTGAAGAAGCGAGCAACCGTATTCCGCGTGTCCAACGAGGTCATTTTCCATCCTCGCTCATGGTATGGTTGGGAGTTTCTTATTGGGGCTTAACAGAGGTACATTTTTGTGAGAAAGGTGTAAAAACGAATGCAGTTGTGTATCAAAATACAGTCCTGACGAACCTTGTGGAACCTGTTTCTCATACCATGTTCAATAACAGGCACTGGGTATTCCAACAAGATTCGGCGCCAGCTCATAGAGCGAAGAGCACACAAGACTGGCTGGCGGCGCGTGAAATCGACTTCATCCGGCACAAAGACTGGCCCTCCTCCAGTCCAGATTTGAATCCGTTAGATTACAAGATATGGCAACACTTGGAGGAAAAGGCGTGCTCAAAGCCTCATCCCAATTTGGAGTCACTCAAGACATCCTTGATTAAGGCAGCCGCCGATATTGACATGGACCTCGTTCGTGCTGCGATAGACGACTGGCCGCGCAGATTGAAGCCTGTATTTAAAATCACGGAGGTCATTTTGAATAAACTTTAGTGTCATAAGAATCTATGTTTTGTTAAGTTCATTTTGGTATATGAATGGTTACATAATGAATAAACTTGTTTCAATTATTTTACATTAAACATGTGACAGAATTTATGACCTGACTAGGTAATTGCATAAGTTGATAAAAAATGCTATGCAATAGCTTTACCGCGGCAGTTCCCGCGTGCCACACGTTTTTTTTTTGTAATGGTTAAATCGAGATCACGATTCAGCTGGTGCTAAGTGATTAATGGAATCCATAGAGATCATAATCGTGAATTCCACTCGTAAATAAAGGGGCATTGTATTGTATCACAGCTGTGCTACTTCAAATCAGAACGCATAACTGTTTTCCGACAGAAATATAGTGGTGGATAACTGGGCTTGCTTACAATACAATACCCACTCCCATCGATAATTATGAAATTTTCGAAATTTTGTAGGTTTCATTTTAAATATACTATGTGTTGTGGCTTCATCCAACAATTATCCGTGACATGCTTACCTTTGATTTGACAAATAAGATATAATATTTTAACCCCGGCAAAATCTCTCGATGAAATTAGATTTTGCGACTACCCGTAAACCCATGCTTACTTTGATTAAAAGAATAAATTATATTTATAGATACTGAAAATTTTAAATTCATATTAAAAAGAGGCCTCTAAATTTTGATTCAAACCATGTATATTATGTTACATTGAAACACAAACGGCCTGTTTACAAACATACAAGTTCTATTAAAAGAAAAAAACCAAAATTTTATAACACGCAGATAAATCAAACGATTGTTTAAATAATAATATAATGAATACAAAACGGGACATGAAACATTTTAAGTGGCCTATTAAATACTTATTTTCTATCATAAAATCTCGATATGATTCTTAGAGATTGGATATTCATAATTGAATCATTTGAAACTAATCATTTTAAATGGTAACCTTTGTCAGATTTGTCTACATATTTTTAAAATGACATACCTTTTTAAGACCTTAAATCAAGAAAACGACGTAAAATCTACACTCGTATCCATAATAATGTGAACTATTGCAAAAAGTAGCTCCACTGAGTTTCTCGACGAATAGCGATTCATATTAGTAGTACATTCATTCATACTTTAAATCACTTACAAGTTTCTGCAGAACAACTTTCTCGGCAGCCATCAATCTACTCGCTGAAAATGCGTGATTAGCGCATTTCACTAATCTCGTCGCAGTGAGCACTGGCCCGTGCAGCTTTTGCGCTATCCAGTAACAAGCTGCCGCAACGAGCTGCAGCTTGTCCAGCTGAACTTGACTGGTGCCTAAGATCGAATCGAGGTACCAACAGGCAGTGTGAATGATAGCTGGATTCCCGTCAGATCCCTGGAACAAGTAACGTTTATTTCTTTTAATACGTTTTTATTAGCTTCAGACGTATGTATGTTTGTAAAGATATATTTGAACATGATTTTGACCGCCTTCAAAACGTCGGATTCACTCGAAATTTGGTATACTTATTAACTAAAATTTTAACTAACAGTGCATTCTGATCTGACAGATAGCCGTCCACACACACAAATCCACAAAAAATAATTATAAGACATTTATATATAGGCTAGACTTTTGGTCGGATAAGTTATTAAGCTAAGATTACTCCTAAGCTCGTTAAAGCTAAGCTACCCATCAGTTTTAAGCTATCTGAATTAAATATATATTAATTAAACTTGTTAATAAAGATTAATTCAATTAATGAGAAGATAACATAGTTTCTTTCAATAAACACACCACAACAACAAATAAAGTCGGTGCTCCAATCAAATTTATGTATGAATGACTCTCGCAACATCCAGTCAAGAAAATGCGCTCAGAAGATATACATATATAGTGGTATCTCCTGATATAAGATACGTATATACGTCTATAAAAAGTCTTATATAATATGCATAAACAAAAATGAAAGAGTGCTAGTGATGAATTTGACACTTATAAAAAAACACAATTATTATTAGCCTTATAAAAAAAGTTTGGTCCGTTCAAATGTTTCCTCCTTTTTTTATTGCTCTTGTAGGCAGTCGAGCATATGGCCCATCTGATGGTAAGGGGCTACCTCATGGGCATTAGCAATGCTAGAGGCGCTGCTAACCGCTGTCTAAAAAGCCTCCTCCCTCCTCCCTAGATAATGACACCAGAGTAAAACATCTTAAGTCTGTATGTACTTACATTAACTTTGATCAGCCAGTTGATAACGCAAGCTCGTGTAATACTAGATGTTCGAGGTACCTCCAATGGCTTCGTTTCAGCGCGTATTAAATAGTTGAACATATCGGTCGTATAGTCCCGGGTCATACATTTCATGTAGCATTTCTTCACTGGAATTAGACGAAAAATAATAATCAAACATTTATGTCGCGATTCTTTATTTATTGACTTGACCATATGAACGGGTCATAGCCCACCGGGTGTCCAGCGGTTACTTCTTGATGTTATTCTTTTATCGTAGAAGTCATACGCACTTGAGTGACCAGTGTTTCGATAAAAAAATGATACCACCCGATTCTTCTTCTTCCTATTCGTACACACTAGACAGAGTGGTCGTGGTCATGCATCAGTCGGATCCTGCGACACCGATGCTCTCGCGATGCGACGCCATGTGGCACGATGTTTCGCAGAGTGAGAATAATCATTTATGTTGGAGTGAGTCACAGATTTTATGAGGTCGGTCCATCGTGTTGGAGATCGTCCGCAAGATCTTTTGCCCTCGACTTTCCCTTGCACTCCCACTCGATATCCCCCTATCCTTTAGGCCATGATAACTTCAAATTATTTTGTAAATACGAAATTATTAAAAAAATATCATCGCCGTAGATATCCAAATAAATAATACATCATTTACAAATATTATTCTGTTAGCTATATAAATATTTAATGAGCACCATTAAAAATCGAAAACAAGTTCCGGGGGATAAGGCCATGAACTAAAATTTGATTACTTTAAGACATCGTTTTATAAGTAGTATAATAAAATGTATATTTCAAATCAAATATCACTTACCGCTCGTACAAAAATGATAGTTTCAAAATAAAAGATAAACCATTGTCGGTGTTAACTAAACTTCTTAATCATAGAAAATATTCACAAATTTACCTTAGAGCCGACGCTTCGTATCCTATCCATCTCTAAAACTAAATTGATTGAATAATGTTAAGTTGAAACATACATTACACTAAGGCAAACTTGATTGACTATTATAATCTATCGACATCTTCATTGCACGCTATTGGATAAATTTAAGTTATTCCGTCATCGCTGTTTTTATGTTAAAAAACGCCATAAACTCGAAGTTCAATATTCTTAATAGTAAAATTAGTAACCGGAGACATGGCTATACAATGTAATCAATAAAATGATTAATAAAATTGTTTTAATCAACACCGACATTCAAACTTTATATAAATCGGCGATATTGTGGGAGTTGAATACTCTCAGTCAATAAATAGTTTCGTGGTATGGTATTCTTGAAAATAGTTCAATAGAAAACATATATGAATATCTATGAATAGATAGTTCCACATACCATCTTCTGTTAAATAAGTACTAATCGATTTTATAGTTTATAATTAATAATCTTATAATTAATAATACCTAAATAATAGATGAATAGTACCTAATAAAATCATAATCTATGATTGTAAATATACGAATATGAGGCATCTTACGGTAGTCGGGTGACTGTAATCTTTCTTGCAAACGCTCGTTAAAATGTAGTCTTCTCTTGACTCTTTCTTCTGCTTTTCTCTCTTGTTTTTCCATCGGAGAGAGACCTTGCAACTCCCTGCTATGTGGTCTCTTCAGGCTTCTTTTTATATTTCGAACACCACCAGCCTCCAGAGTCGAAGACTTCACTACTGGTGTAATAGCCATTCTAGCATCTTCAAAACAATTCTTAGTTCTATTCTCAACAAAATACCTCAATTCTTTTAAATTTTCATTATCATTCTCCTCGTCACTTACGGAAATTACACTGTTATTTCTCTCGTCTTTAAATATATTGTAGTTCCAATCCAAATCGTCATTTCCTTGTCTCGTTGTTACATGCTTCGAATCAAGATTGGTCGGTGATTTCGGTTTATTAGGTGCGATTTTGCCGCGGCTGTGTCCAGGTACCATAGGATTAAAGGACTTACTTTGATTGCTCTGACCAGGCATGGATTGTGAGTTAATCGTCTTCAAGGGCTGTCTGCTATTTTCGAATGCTTTAAAATTTATCTCTTTTAGTAGATGTCTCGGTAATGCCGGCAATGGCTCCATCGGTAATGGAATTCTTGTTTGAGGTATAAAACGATTTTCGTTCTCTTTATTCGCCTCCATCTTGATCGCAACACGCAAACTTTCAATAATGAATTTTAGATTTAGTTACCTTTAATTGGCATTTAGTGAGTTTACTTATTTTGCTATACACGAATCACGACCAGCGTGACCGTCGCAGCCAACTTTTCTGTAGTAACAGAAAAGTACCCTCTCTAGAGTTTTCTCAAAATATATAGTAGTGTCATATTTTATACCGGAATTGGAGATGTTCGAATTTACGAACTAAATTATAAAATTGTATAAAAAAATAACTAAGTACTCCTTTACAACATGGCTTGTTAAATAACGAATTCAATGTTTGGTACGTTATTGAAATGTCGCCTAAAAAACTCTTAATTATGAATATAGATAATATTCATTAATGTTTTTTATTCCTTAACTAAGCAATAAAAAATATTAATATCAGGTGGGCCATGAGATAGTCTACCCAGTTGGGCAGTGTTAAGTGGTTACCGGAGTCCATAGACATCTACAACGTAAATGTCACTCACCCACTCGTCACTCACCTTGAGATATGATTTCTAAAGTCTTCGTTTTTACGGTACAATGGTTACCCTTTAAATGAAAATGCATTATTGTTTCACAGTAGAAATAGGCAGAGTCATGGTACCAAGCGTAGTACACTTGTAAGAATAGTTCTTCTTCATGGCCTTATCCGATTATGTAGGGTCAGCGTAGCCTGTACCTACTCTTTTTCCATTCAGGCCTATCATACATCATCATCATCTTCATCATCTACACTCACACACTTCTCTCGCACATCTCTCTTGCATATCGAATCCATTCAAGTCTTATTAAGAGAGCCTGCCTTCCACTTTCATAAATTAATTAAAATAATTATCTCTCAGACTGACGGAATCGTGGTACGTGGGTACTCTTATTTATTTGTTGTACTTTTTTTCTTGTACTGCAGGTTATATAGTACAGTAAAATTTACTCGAGATTACTTAATTTACCTCGTGAGGTAGGGTGCTCTCGAAGGACGCCCAGTCGATCACCTGCTTAAATTGCAAAAATGAACTTGAAAAACGATAAGTTTGTATTTGTGTTGAACATAGCCAATCAAATCAATATAATTAAAAAGTCCCTTGACAAACAGAGTCAGTATGTTTTCGTAAAAACAATACAAATTGGAATGAAACAATAAAAATAACGCAACAACCACATTATTTGATAAACAATTTATTTTAAATCAATATCTTAAATCTACAATTTAAATCTATCACAAACACGCACGAATAAATAAACTTACACTAACTTAAAACTAGTCTATGTACTTTTTCGTTATCAAATGCGTCTGGATTTTATTTTAATTTAATTTAAAAAAGTAAAGTAAAAATTGTATATAAAAAAGGTGGGCGTAGAATTCGCAATATTCATGGAAGTCGTGTTCAAACAGAAGTAACATTTGCAGCGTATTTTAAATAAGGCGTTTTTTGATGCAACTGTTTTATGTATTCAATAACATAACTAATGAACAACAAAATGAACTCGCAACAGTCAAAGAAAAGATTTTTTAGCTGGAAACGGTTAATAGTCTACATCAAAAATAGCTAACACATGGAATTAAAAAAAAAATTAAATGAGATTCAGTTCAGTATTACTAAATTTGAGAAATCAAAAATCAAAAGGCTTAGGTTTTTCTGGGTCAACGACTTTTCCAGCGACAACCACTAGATTATCTAAAGTATCCATGATGAAGAAAACGAATGGATGGTCGACACTAAATTTGGTGGCTGGTTTCTCCGAAAGTGGCAAATTCTTCGAAAGGGGCATGTCAACGTTGGCAGCTGAAACAAATATGTTCAAATGATTATCTTTTCATCATGAAGAACTATGTGTTCTTAACTGATTGTAAGTTTATCTCCAACTAGTATTTGGGGATAAACAAAATTTTATTTAAAAAAAACCAACTTGAAGAATTAAAAATTCTAAAACAAAAAATGTATTAAAAATGAGAATTTTATCAATATCATTGAAGTCAATTAAATATGCATTAAGTTTAAACCAAATATTACTAGTCAGATCTTAAATTGATCAGGTCAGATAAAATTTAGACTAGAACAGATCAGAAGCACCAATACCCGACTAAAGAGAATCGCTTAGAAAAAAATCTAAGAAAAATATCTAAATCCATTAAAAATACAGCCGAATTGAGAATCTCTCCCTCTTATTTGAAGTCGATTAAAAATAATATGCCCTTACAAAGATTTCTATTATTACTGTACTTCATTGGAGGGTTAGCTTAGAGGCCAAAATGAATTTAACATAGCCCAGTACCAGACCTTGAAACATGAATTCGAAGTCTGAATTCTTTTACAAAACTACCTTCAAATCGGAACACTTTATTTCTATGTATTAAGAGAGTGCTTGAGACATTTGCGAACTACTTTGCTTATTTATTACATACCTGACATCTCTGAGGCTACGGAATCTGAGTTGTCAACGCGAACGGACACGTGCTGAGCCATCTCTTCAACGAACAGACCTCCGTCGGAAGAAACTCCAGATAAATCTGCATCGTGTGTGAAGATCTTACTGACGCCGAACTGTGAAATTAGAAATCGATTATGAAATACAAAATGATTGAGTTATCCTTATACTGTTATCGATTAAGGTATGTATTCACTAACATAATAAAATTGCACTCGGCAATTGGGGTAGCTCCCGTTTTAGTAGAGAGCATGTGCAGAGCAATACTAACATTTATCGTAACACTAAACGTATTAGAACATCTGATCGAAGTCTCAAGTACATTGGAGTAAAGGTTATCCAAATCTTCATTCAGAATGACGGGCTCAAAATGTTTGGACTCAAAATTCGCCTGACCACACATACCTACTTCAAATAGGAAGTAGAGAATATGTTCGATGTTGTCAAACTAGTAAAGCAAGAGGAAAAAATTTTTGTCTTATTTCTTACGGGTCCTCGAACGATGCCTTCTTGATGATTATCCAAATTTCAATTAGAGAAGGTTATTCAAGATCCTTGAGTATTAATAAAATTGTTATTAAATATTTTACTAACGAACACTACTAGGTAAGTAGTATTAAAATTTTCTTACCTTAACCAATGAAACAATAGGTTTGGTGGTAGTTTCGACATAGAACGTGGGCATGGACAGCAGAAGTTCCTCCTTCTTCATGCTATCTTCGATGTCTTGCAGAGTTACGGAAGGAAGATCAGCAATAAGGCGAGTTAGACCATCACGAGACCTCGGGACGAGAATCAGGAGAGCGTAACGACCACCCTTATGCAAAAATAAGCAATTTAAAAATATGCAGCTAGGTTGTGCGGTATGTATTATTATAATCTAATTCATAATAAACGGCTTATGGTAGGTACCAACTGGTATTTGTTAAAACAACATTTAATCCAATTCTAACTTATACGAATGTTAATGAGCGCTTTGATTATCTCGAAAGATTTTAGATAACATTTTGACAAACTCCTTATAACGGACTTAAAAAAATCCTATATAGCTAATTATGTATGTATTGTTATTATTTATTTATTATTTGTTACTCACATCATAAGGAAGACAAATGGCTTGGCTGTCGAGAGCTGAGATGAAAGCGGTATTGAAAGAGCCTGTGGCTTTCATCATTTGAACGGATTTTTTCTCCGAGCTAGATTTATAGAAGAGGCCAGGCTCAACAACATCGAATGGTTTCTTCCACGATCCACGGAAGTACATGCCGTTGAATATGATCATAACGGAACTAGACTCTGAAATATAACCGAAATTTAGTATTTTGTTACTACGAAACTTTTTTCAAATATTTACAGTTGTTATCCAACAAAGGACGCTAATACTTAAATTAAACACTTACTATTCGCACTAGACTTCTTGCTGACGCTGTTGACAGAAAAACCTGATGATATATCGTGATTTGGTTTATTTACATTTAAGCTCCTAGCATGATTCCTAGCTTCTACAGCAATCATCGTTTCCTCTTCATCTGTATAGTCCTCTTTTTTGGGATACGTTTTGACTAACTTAATCTTCTCTTTGATATTCTTTGCGGGTTTGTATTCAATTTGAGTAACATCTACCTTTTCTGGGGTATCGACAAAAGCGAACGATATTAATTTCTCGTTTGGTTCCGTTTTAATTGGCATATCCTCATTAGGCTCACTGGGTTCGTCAGTCTTCTCCGGTACGCGAATAGCTTCTTCGTCGTCATCGTCGTCTGAATGTACATCAGATTCTGGATTGTATTTTTCAACTGATCTAACATCTGTTAGATAATATTCTTCCAAAATCTTTCTGTATTCATCGTTGACTGTATAATTTTTGTAAACATAGAAGAAGTTCTTGAGCTCCGGTTGATTGTATGCGTAAGTGTTTACATTTTTGAGCCTCTCCATGATGTATTGGTATGTTTTTCTTGTCAAAGCTGGGTCTTCGGGCAGATGAAGTGCATTATACAATTGTTCTCTGGTCTCCCCTTTCGCACCTTCGGCTAAGATGGCTAAAATAGCAGAGTATCCGAGAGGAGAAAACGCGATGTTTTCATTGTCATCAATGTAACCCTGAAACGAATATTCACAAATCTGTCTCATTCTTGAATGTTATTTTTAGCATTTTGTTTTTTAAGTAAATTTATATATTTTTTAATATTTTAGAAACCTGGTGTTATTTTCAATTGACTTTATCAAACGTTATCAAAAATAGTTTTAGCATTTGCGACATAAGCGAGGAGATATAAGAGATTCGAGGAAAGATGATTTTGTAACCTGTAATATAGCTGTAGATAGTTCACTGGAAGCATCTCCAATAAAGCTGGTGTCTCTGGGTTGGTCGGAACGTCCCTCGCGAACCCATCGTGCACTGACAAGGGCCACTGCTAGGCACACAACTGTAATAAAATGAAGCGGCATGAAGAATACTAATATCTGTAACTTACTATTGTATAATCTAGATGATAGAGATCCTAATTTTCGTAGCCTAAGTAGAAATCGTAAACATGATTCGAAAATACCTTACAATATAATCG